AGGGGAGGAGGGTGAGGAGTGGGGGAAGGAGGGTGGAGGTGGACAAGAGTGGTTGTGTATGTGGGCCGATGAAGGGGTGGCGGGTGGTAGGGGTGATGGCAGTAGGGGGTGGGAGGGAGAGGGGTATGGGGGTGGATGGTGGCGTGCGTCGGGGACATGGCGTACATAAAATGAAAATTTTCTTTTGAAATCAAACAAAATTCATTTTCTGCAATTGAGATATGTTACCAAACATAGAAAAATGAAATCATATTTTTTTCGTAGAGCTCAACACTGTGCTGTTGAAAATTACAATTAACTTTGATTCATGCAAAAATTGACATTTTTCAGTCTCGCAGCACAGCACAGTTATCTGATATTGATCTCGGGTATTACCTTCTTGGCATTTCTTGCTTTACCAATTGCGCAATGCCAATTGGTAACAACTTCCTTTCATGAATCATTGTGTTGTCAAGCAAGTTTTGTTGTCAAAGCAAGGAAGTTTCTTAGCAAAGGGTATGCAAAACGGTTCTTTCGTCAAACTACATACCCAGCTAGCTAAGCTAAGCTAAGGTTTTTGCTTTTATTTTGTCAAACAGCGTAATTAACCAGGTTGCTTGACCTATGGAATTGGTTCCCAACTTGCTCCGCTCGACCACTTTACTTCATTAATTCAAGTATTCTACAGTTGATTTGTAGAAAATTGAGTCATCCAACTATTTTTTTACTCTATAAGACTGTAACAAGTAATAACACACCTATATGGCTATGTAATTGATAGCATTATGTTCCGAATGATAATAAAAAGTGAGATTATTTTTCCAAAAAAATCATGGTAAGTGTAGATAAAAACTAAGTCCAAATCTAGAATATGTTGACTAAGGGTTGCTTCTTATCAACTTCCCCACATCTCCAACATTTTTACTCCACATTTTAAGTCCCAACCAAATAAACTTAACCTTCCACAGTCCAACCTTTTGAATCACTGACAACAATGGCGGATTACACTCTCATTACTATCAAACCATACCTATTCATCTCCCTCCTCCTCCTCCTCTTTCCTCTCTACCTAATCTCCAAACACTTCCGCCGGAAAATCAAGAACCACCCGCCGGCCCCCTTCCTTGCCCTCCCCGTCATCGGCCACCTCTACCTCCTCAAGAAGCCTCTCCACCGGACCCTAACCCGCATCTCCAAGCGCTACGGACCCGTCGTCCTCCTCGACCTCGGCTCCCGGAAGGTCCTGACCGTCTCCTCCCCTTCCGCCGCGGAGGAGTGCCTCTCCAAGAACGACGTCGTTTTCGCCAACCGCCCTCGCCTCATGGTCGGGAAGTATATTGGGTACAATTACACCTCCCTGGTCTGGGCGCCCTACGGCGACCACTGGCGGAATCTCCGGCGAATCGTGGCCACCGAAATCCTGTCCAACAATCGCCTCCAGACTCTCCACGAAATCCGCGCCGATGAGGTGAAATCTATGCTCAGAAAGCTGAGTTCCGCTTCCGATTCGGATTCCCCTGCGGATATGAAGACTCTGTTTTTCGAGCTGATGTTGAACCTTCTGATGAGGATGATCGCCGGGAAGCGGTATTACGGCGACGAAGTGGGGGATATCGGGGAGGCAGAGCGGTTTAAGGAGATAGTCAAAGAGGTATTCTTGCTCAGTGGGGTCAACAACGTGGGAGATTACGTGCCGGCGTTGAGCAGGGCGTCCGGGGACTTGCTCAAGCTACAGCACAAGAGGGACGCTTTCTTTCAGGATCTGATCGCCGACTGCCGGGAAAGAATAGATAACGGCGGCGAAACGGCGGCCGGGAATAAGAAATCATTTGTGGAGGTGCTGTTGACGCTGCAAACAGAGGACCCAAAATATTACAATGATGAAACTATCCGAGCCCTTATGTCTGTGAGTATATTTACTTTGACTTTTTAGATGGAGTCTGATTTTTTTTTACTTAAATTGATTTCTAAATTTGACTATTATTGTTAAATTCCATCAAATTGTGTCCCTAGCCCTGATGACAATTTGACTTTTATCGTTAAATTTCATCAAATTCGATCTTAATTATTCATTATAAACATTAAACAAGATATATCTTAAAATATTACGATTGGTTAATAATTTGTGGTCAAATTTACTGTTTTTTTACTGCAAAAATTAAATTATCATATTTTATTTAGGATGAGTAATTTTCGATTCGTTATGGTACAGGTGATCTTAGCAGCAGGAACAGATACATCAGTGGCCACAATGGAGTGGGCACTCTCGCTTTTATTAAACCACCCACAAGTCTTGAAGAAGGCGCGAAAGGAAATCGACCATCTGATCGGACGGGAGAGATTAATTGCGGAATTCGACTTGGCTAACCTCCCTTACCTGAGCTGCATAATAAAGGAGACGATGAGAATGTACCCTGCAGGACCACTAGGGGTCGCCCACGAGTCCTCTAAAGAGTGCACCGTGGGAGGGTACCTTATTCCCAAGGGCACAATGCTGCTGCTCAACTTTTATTCCATCCACAGGGACCCCAAATATTGGGAGGACCCGGAGAGCTTCAAGCCCGAGAGATTTGAAGGGTTGGAGGGAGTGATGGGTGCCAAAGACCATGGCTACAAATGGATGCCTTTTGGGTCGGGTAGGAGAGGATGCCCCGGGGAAGGGCTGGCGTGGCGTATGATCGGGTTATCTTTAGGGTCGTTGATACAGTGCTTTGACTGGGAACGAATGGAGGGGAGTGAACTGGTGGATATGAAGGAAGGAGGTGGTTTGACCATGCCCAAAGCTCTGCCTTTGATGGCCAAGTGCAAGACAAGACCTTTTGTCAAAGCCTTGCTTTCTTTCTAACTATTGTTACTTCGTTCATATTATGTTATCACACTATTACTATTGTTCTACGTCCATCACATTTCTTTTCCTTTAGGGGAAAAATGTATGCGAACATGTTGTTACACAATAAAATATAGATGCTTTTTTGTCCCGTAATTGTATCTCTTTCCTATTTCAGGACATCTCATATTTTTCTTATAAAATATAGTGGAGACTGTAGGGCTATAAAAATCTTTAAAACGTCATGAAATACCTGATATTTCATAGTAGATTGCCATTGTTTCTACCCACATAGCTAGTTCAATCATAAACACAAAATGGATTGGGAAATCACGCTCATGAAATGAAAAAGAGACCATATTTACTGCATGATTCCACATTTAAGCACAAATTCAATACTAAGACATACTATAAAGGATATGCCAGTAAAAACACACCAAGTAGTTTCTTGTACTCCGTAACAATTAAAGAAATATTAATCGCAATAATACTAAATAAAATGCAGCAATCCATTATTCTAGCCCATTATTCTGATCTTTTGCATTAATCCATTATTTTCTACAGCTAAAACAGTGTCAATCTTTGCTCTTTAAATTCCTAATGGTGAATAAACAAGTGCATTTTCAGTACACGATTATCATGTCATTGTTACAGCAAGCAATGTACTCACAGGGCCTGAGAGAGAGGCTTTCATTACTGTGTGCGCCCCATGCTATTTTCGGCAGCCCTGACCTGGATTCCTGGAAGAAGTATGGATGCGGCTAAACAAAACAAAAGAAGAAAATGGTTTGACACCTTAATCAGAAGGCCATGCAATGCGCGTTAATGTTTAATTCAAGACTAGTAATTTCACAAGTGCGGAATCCAAAACTTGATGATGACATAATATAGGAAATTTGCAATAAAATAAAGCCATCACATGTTTATTACCATAGCTTCTTTAGCTGTAAGCACGCCGAGATCTATTCATCAGCCGAAGAAGCACCAGAAGGGATTCTCTCATACAGGCGATAAACCAAAGTGGATTTCGACATTTGCGGCTCCCTTTCGAGCACAGAAATCACATCTTTTACAGTAATGCTGCAGCAGCCAACTCTTGATTGGGACACAATCTGATTTCTTCCCACACTCCTATCCTCACTTGCTAAAGAAGAAGAAAAAACTAACTTGAAGAAGGCACAAGTCTATTATCATTATTCTACCACATGTGATAAAGTAGTGTGAGAATTCATTTTGGAGCGAGAATGAATGAAGTAAACCAAACATACCTTGTGTGATGACTGAGGTTGATGAGCTCCTCCTTTCAACATCTTGGAGGTCCCTAGGATTCCTAGACGAAGAAGACAATGACCTCTGGGAGAAATCTTTACTATGATGTGAGCCCGAAGCTGCATCACGTTTCTGCTTAGCTTGTTCTGCCATCAGCTGCCACTTTGTCCACATATCGTCTCCCCCGACAGCAGCTCGAGCAGCAACATTAGCAGCCGTTGTTCTCATCTTGTCATCATCTTCCTTATTTACCTTGCAAGCATTAATGCAAAAAATAGAGAACAAAGTTTGTTATACAACCCAATAAAGTACCACAAATTGGCGATCGGGGTTAAGGTGGATAGGAACCATCAATTTTACTCATGGAGCACCATAGGTGCCCGAGTCACACAATTTCAATATATTTATTCGATAAATATATTTATTCGATCACACACACACATATTTCAATGAATTAATGTATTGAAATTGAATATATGTAATTGAAGTGTTCTTGATACCTTCAGTGACTTTGCTTGACCATCATCCCTATCCTTATCACTCTCAGCTGCAGTACTACCATCTGGCTGCGGGATAATAACATCAATTACATTTATTCCATAAACTAATTCTAAAAGAATACAAGTATTACAATTGCGTTGGAAAAAAAACAAGAGAAACTCACTTCATTTATGTCTTGATGTTTATCTGTTTCGGCTTGTTTCTTCTCCCATTCTTCCCGAGCCTTTCTGTTCATTGCCATGATTTGTTGGCGAACATCAGAGGTAACAATTGTTCTATGCCTTGTCTTCTCAATGTCAGCTCGCTGTTACATGCATTAGTCCAGTTAAGAGATAAGTGTCGTCATATAGTTTCTTTTGTAAAAAACTGAAGAGCATAGTTTGCAAGAATACACATACAATCAGATGTCACTATGGATTTAGACCTTATTTGGTCAATCGACTTCACAATCGATTGTTGTTGTCCATCAACTATACCTTATTTACTTGACTAGGTCCTCAACTTTTTATTATACTCAATTTAGTCCTTGAATATGGAAATTGGGCCAAATTTAAAGCTCAAGCATATAAGTTTCAAGAAGGATATTTTTGTTTGTTTGCTAACTTTAAACCCAATTTGAACTCCATTCAGTCCTCAAGTCTAGACTCTAGACTATGCACTTTTGGACTCACTTTAGTCCTCAACATACAAAATACTCTCTTTAAGGCTTGATTGCGTCAAAGTTGCATAGGTGAGGACAAAAATTGAGTCCAAAGAAAAGTTGGAAATCAAATTTAGTACTTGTAATTGAGACCAACCTGTTTTGACAGCCTGATGACAGTACTTATCAGTGCGCGCAACCTTTCCTCAACACACTGAAAGTTGACCACTCAGTAACATGAAAAACAATCTACAAACAAGTAATGAAAATAAAAGATATGATCCCCACCAATGATAAGCACCGCTCCACATCATTGCTCATTTTCATCAGTCCACTTTTTCCCACTACCGAAACAAAAGAAAGATTGTTATCGAATTGAATCATTTTATTTACAGTAAATTTAATGTGAGATTTATTTATTTACTTATTTCAGTCAATTTCTTCTGAAGCGGGATTTTCTGTAAAATTAGTTGTTCCTCTTCTTCTTGCACAGCTCGCCTAGATGCTTCAGAGACCCGACTATCTTCCTTGGGGCCAGAAAACAGTTGCTCCTCTTCTTCCTGTTTTTCACATTTTATCGCAACACTAAGTTATAACCAAAGATAAGAAACTTACTTGATACACCTGGAAACCAGTAAATCAGCTGCTTCAAGCCGTGGAAAAGGAGAGAACTTACCCTGAGATTAACTCCACTAACAGCAGTGACATCATTGAGCTGCTCAATGCTTTGATCTGAAAAGCCTCCAGATACCTTTTGCTTCTTCCTGAAAATGTCCCGCTATTAACAAACTAACAAATAAACACGTTGGCATAAAAAGTACTCTCTTCCTCCCTCTCTCAATATAAGCAGAAAGATTTGATACCCTGACGGAGGAGGTGAAGACCCAAGTACTTCAAGTGGCTTCTTTTGGCCAATTGATGGCTTCTTTGACAGATTTTTGGCATTATTTCCAGGTCCACTTGGAGATGTTACAGCAAGTGCGTTGGAGTGTATCTGATAAAGGGAAGATATTACATAAACATGAGGAAAACAGCAAAAACTAGGAAGCATACATCACTTTACTGAAGTAAGAGATACTTGAAGTAATAAACACCATGAAGAAACCAAAGATGAGAAAAGTAGTGTGTGTAGTTTTTTCATCGTCACAATTTACTCCAAATGAACAAATAATCACCAATATCTGTGGTTCAACTTTCATCTTATACACAAATGACGTCATGGCCAATGGATATCAAAATCTATACCACAACCTAGATAAGCTTCTTTTTTGCATATATGATGCATACAGAAATAAAATGATCCCAAGTAGTACTTGTAGTTATTTTGATTTTATTATAGCTGATAGCAATGTATGAAATGCATATACACGCCATAACAAAAAAAGTGTAAGTATAACTACCAAATTATTAGTGTCAACATGAGATGGAGTGGACATTGGGCCTGATGTTTGAGCTACCCTCTGTCCAGCTGTTAAGTAACCTGCTGTAGAGGGTTGGACATAAGTTTCATCATTTAAAGTTCCTAAAGTAGAAGCTCCTGGTTCATTTTGTGCAGGGGTGAAGGAAGGAGAAGATAACTGAGACTTGAGCTGCTGATCATGTAACTGATCTGTTGGTTCTGCTTTTGCATTTATCATGGGTGATGGGAGTATACTTCTCCTCTCATTATTGCCTGCTGATTGCCAATGAGGTGAACCCTGTTGTGAGATTGAACTAGTCATTTGAGCAGCAGGTCTCCTTTGTTCCCCCAAAGAATTCTGTCTTTCAAATTTAGGTGTGGTGGTCATATTCATAGTCTGAGATCCAGGTCCTAACTGTGTTGGCCTTATATGGTGATCCTGTGGTTGGGATTTAATAGGTGTCGGCATTGATAAAGTATTAGTGGGAGGATATGGATGAAAATTGTTCCCCATATGCCCAAATGAAGAAAAAGATGCCTGGGGGTAGTGAAAATGCTTTTGTTGATGGTTATTAAGTCCCTGCATAGGGAATGTTGGATGCTCCCTTTCTTGTTTTATTGCAGCCAAATTTGAGGTAGACACTTGGCCTCCTGGCAATCCATGTAAATCTGTGTGGTGATCCCCCTCATGCAACTTTTGAGCATTACTATTCATCACCAAGTTGCTTGAATCTGTTCTAATTTGCATTGCAAGATATGAAAATTTTATTTAGGAACATAAGAGAGTAGGAATATTCTCACGAGAAATAAAAAATTAAGACAGGGTAGCACCATTTGATGTTGATTGGATATGTTGTTGCATTGAAACCTGAGACACTGGTGGAAACTGATTAGCTTGTCCATATTGTGCCTCTCTAGCGGCCTGTCCAGTTTAGAGTGGTTGAGTAGTAGATTGATATTAATACAGCAGAAATTGTGTTGGTTAAGCCTTTATTTGAATGGAAGGTTTTGGTGGAGTTTGGAAGGAAAGCCTTTACCTGAGACTGGAATTTAAAAACAGCCATCTTAAGCATCTGGTCACCTATAAGATTCCTCATGTGTTTAACAAAACCATCCTTGGTAATTTCATTTTTCTGAATAAAGATACCTCAATGTTAGAATCCTCAAACAAGACACGAAATATAATCAGATGTTTAAGTAACCCACCCTTAGTCTATGGTATAGAGTCTGAAGTTGCATTGCTCTGTCCTTATCGAGCAAGGGCTGAATGTGAGGGAATAACATGGCAAATGGCACTTGTTTTCCTGGCTGGTGTACATTGCCTGCAGATTGGCTGCCTGTCATTGAAACCATTTCTGTTTGACTGGTCATCTTTTGTTGCTGACTACTTGTCCCAACAGGCATGGAATGTTGACCTGTAATAGCTGTGCAAGTGGGTTGTTGAGTGTTCACTTTGAGATATTGAGTGTCGGGATTTTGAGTTCTGCTGTGCTCCAGCATAGGGACAGCATTCTTATCAGAGCTCTGCATAGGTTGTTCATGTGTTGATAGCTGACCAGCATCTTTGGAGGAATCATTTTGATGTTGATTCTCAGCATCTTGACCCATTTGTGTTAGCTCCATTTCAGATGAATTATTATTATTGTATGATTGCTGCAGTGTGACATTGGAATCCTGAAGGCTCGGAGACGATGTATTTTCACTGTGATTGGTGCTTTTCCAGTCAACAAATTGATTTGAAGAGCGACTGTTCCCTTTTAATAATACTGTCCTTAATTAATTACTTGCATACACAAGAAAATTTATGCTAAGCAGTAAAATTTAGAAATTCCTTAACAAAATAATGAAAGGTACTGTATACAGTAAATTTTATAAACGGATATATGGTCTATCTAAAAGGGGCAATTTCTCATTGCCACACAAACACTTTTTCTGACCAATTGCAGCAAGTAATTACTCCCTTCATCCCTATTTAATCTTCACATGTGCTTTTTAGTTTTTACAAGGAGCTTAAGAGAGATGAAATTGTGTGGTTGAAATTTTTGCAGACTTAAGAGAATATATTGATGTGAACCAAACAATTCTTTCTTTAAAAGGGAATGGGAAAATTAATTAGGGGCATCCAAAAAAAGAGAAGATAAAAAGGGACAAAGGGAGTGCTAGAAAGAACTATAATAAAGAAATCATCACCTATATTTCAATAGATATTTTCCTAAGGGAACCTATGTTGGATCAAGTCCTAAATTCACCATAAAATGCAATGCAGGTGAAAAAGGGTCATACCGCCACCTGCCGGTTGAGACAAAGAACCATCCCCCCCTTTGATATGCCTATTTAGGGCAGCTGTGAAGGCCTCTACGTCTGCTCCTGAATGCATAGTTTCATCCTGTGGAAACACAAAAGTTTCAATCAAACTGGCCCTTCGGGAAATTTAATTCCCAAGGTATATATTTAAAAAGAGATAAAAATCAGATGGTGGGCAGATGTGAAAAAAAGAACATCTGCCCCATGTGGGAAGTGATGGAATAGAGACCTCATCTTCTTCGAGGAGTTTCATGATTGAAGGGTCCATTGCAGACGCTAATTCTACAGGTATCCTTCAAAGTCTGGCAGGATGGCTGCTTAAAGCTGAAATTCAGAAAACTTTGTTGCAGTCAAAGTGATGAATATCTGTTGCAGCTTCAACAAATTTAATGTGGGAAAGGTCCTATGAAAGTAGAACTCCTAATTATTACTAGCATTCCACACACACACACACCGTCCCAACACTAAGTCCCCATTTACTATTTGGGAGCCAAACATTTACTTCTTTCTTCAACTTATATCTTAAATCATTTGTTAAAATAATATAGTCATGTCTCCTCTTGCTTTATCGAGTATTTGATGTAGCTTTCAAATAAACTGCTTTTATTTTAAAATATTACTCGTATATCATTATTTAAATAAACTGAATTGAAAATAAATTCAAACAACGTAATCCAAAATGGGGCTTTAGTTTTTTTATGGAGGGAGTATGGTGGGATGAAGCCATGTGAAACAATTAAAAGAAAGGTGGCATTTTTGTAATATTGTCACTTTTGAAATGATTGGCTCACATGGCTTCATCCCACTCATCCCACCAAAAGGTCATCTCATGGGAGTCAAGTCAATCCCTATACACACACACACACGCACACGCACACGCGCACACACACACACATATATGAACATATGAAAAAGGCCAAATTTATCCAATCTTTCTCCAAAGTTTGCCCCATCCTTTCACACAAACACTCAAAGCTCAAAGACAACATGCTAAGCCCTTGTGTGAAAATTCCCATTGAAACCAAACACTTGTCTTGACTATTTGATTCATCAATTGCAGCAAATAAATACGGAGTGTTAAAAAGAACTGTGATAAAAAAAACTAAAACACAAATTCCAAAAGATATTTTCTGAATGGAATTTGTTTTGGATCACGTGATATAAATATACAATCTTACTATACATTTTCTTTTTTGGCATCATCTTACTATACATAATAATACAGTTTTTGAAGAAAATGTCCTGTCAAATTCAATTGCTACATTTTAATCACTTCTGATTGTAGACGATGTTAAGCATGAATTAATGGTGAACCATGCAGGCAAAACTTATCAAGGCCTTAACATATCATTTTTCTGCAGTAACATAACAAATGATCATGAAACATTATGCAACAATCATGGTTATCACGGCGCCAAGGCGAGGCAGGTGCCAACGAACCACCAGGATGCCTGGTCTACTAGGCAACCCCTAGGCGACTATTCATAAACGATAAATATAATAACATTGATACAAATATATCATAATACATAATAGATGTTTGTATTCATATAGTAGAAACTTCATACCCAAGCGGCCCAACAGCTGCCGGGCAGCCCACCAACCGGATCAAAAGCTGCCCGGCAGCCCCCCAACCGGCCCAAAACAGCCCACAAACCAAACCCATTTGCGCCCAAGCGAGCCAAATCAACCTGTTTGCACAAGAACCAACCCAATTGGACCCGAATTGACCCAATTGGATCCAAATTGAACCCAATCAGCCCGTCCACAGTCACTGCCGGAGGTCCGTCGCCGTGGCTCGCCGGGATCCGGCCGGAAATCCACCCCAATACAACATATAGCCAATTCAACATCCAAATCAACAATTCCAACAATCAATTCACACTAATTCACAATCAATCGCAAGAATTATTTAAACAAGATCCTAATCTAAGAATTAAGGCTAACGGAAGATATTTGGGCAAAGAATCACCTCGAAATTGAAGAAATTGAAACCCGGAATGAAGAAGAGAAACTCGCCGCTGCCACTACCTGGCGCGGTCGAATCAGCTGCGCGACGGGAAAATGAGAAACGGCGGCTGTCGGCGACGGCGGCGTGGCTCTCCCTGGCTGGCGGAACGGCAGGGACGAACGGGCAAAAAGCAGCGGAAACAGACGGAAGGGGAGAGATCGACGGAAAGAGAGAGAGGTGACGGACGGCCGCTGCTTCCCTGTGACGGAGGCTCGCCGGCGCTGTGGGTCTGCTGGACGGAAACGCCGGACAGAGTAGATGGAATCGACGGGAGGTCTTGGGCAGGGTAAACGAACGGGAAAAAACGGGAGTGAGAGAAGTCGTAAGTCTCCTGTGTAACCCTTGGCTATTTAATTACTCCGTATAAAATTAAATACTCCTTAGATTTTATAACCTAGTTTACATAGACAATTATGATAAGATTTTAATGATATAAATTAATTCTGAACAAGTAGGGGAGTGATGGTGGTTGAAGATAATTTACGATTGAGAGATATCCAAATTGATCTCTCAATATTGTGAGGTATGAAAATGTCTTTGATTGAAATATATGATACTTTTATTTTTCAACAAATATTTAAAAAATGATCCGAATACTAGAGATGCTAAAATCTTTATATTTAATACACATCAAACTTATCATTAGAGACGGATGGAAAAGTGAAAAAGTGAAAGAAATATATTCATCTGAATTCAAGTTGGTGAATAAAGACAAATTAAGATTAGAATCACATTCGATTTGAATGAAGAAAAATCAACTTTTGCTAGGGGTCGACATTGATTGAGCTCAATGATAGTACAATTGGTGATCTCTAGCAGCGATTCAACTACCATAAATAGTTGTAGGCGGTAAAAAAGTCACATATTAAGTTCATATAATCATATGTGTAGTTTTTTTATTAGTGAAAGATTCGAATCGATGATGACAATCTGTTAGAGTGAGGCTGTTAAAGAATTGACATATGTAACTTTATCACCTCTTTTTTAGAGAACAAGGGAGTGAATTCATTCTAATTTAAATTCTTCCACATGTATAGGTTATCTCGTAGCCTCCATGTAAGTAGTTCTTAACTTCTTATTACTTTGCTATGCATGTTGTATAAATACGCCTCCGCTGGTGTAAATATTATTAATTCAATCATTCATCAATATTTTTATGGAAATTTACGTAAATAACACTAAAACATAATGGCTTTCCATAAATAGTATTACATGTGTTTTTTCAATGTAGCACTTTTAGTCATTATATATTAGTCATTATTCAAGTAAATATTCACCATCACTAGACATTATTAAGTGTTATTTAGAGAATAAAACAGTTAGGTGTTATTTAAGAAAGTGATTTAAGTTTTAATGCTATTTACTGCAAATATTTCTATTCTTTATTGTTACTTATTATTCGTCTAAGAATGCTGTTATACACTTGCACTATGTGTGTATGTGTTAGTTTGGTCATTTGATGGTTCATAGATTTAGTGTAGCTTATGTTCATTTACTGCTTTTCCTATTTTTATTTTGACCACTCCTTATTCGGTTTATTGTTGTTGTTGTTGTTGTGTTAAAAAAGAAGAATGAGCCTCATACCCGATGGCCTCCAAACCCGATCGAACGGTCACTAAGAGAAGATAAATTAGATTTTAATCGCAGATTGCAGAGACCTTATATTTACAACAGTTGTTTCTCAGTGCAGTTGTCAGGAATCAAACTCGGGTATTACTTTCGTAACATTTCTTGCATTTGCTAACTGCGCAATGCCTACCGACATTGAGTTTGTTGTTGTGTTGAAAAAAAAAGAAACTTTCATTGTTTGTGGGATTTTCGGTGGGTGGGTTTTAAGTTTTTTCTCTCTTTTTTTTCTTCTTGGTTTCGTTTGTAAGAGTTTGGTTGAGTGAGTGAATTTAGCATTTGTGGACGGGAGAGGTGTTTGGTGATTTTTTTTATTCAGCCATATGTGTGGTTAAGCCCTTCCCGTAATCCGTATTTTTTTATTCTTTTGTAGTTGAATAAGAATTCTACCATTTCTAATCTCTTTTTATTTTTAATTCATTTTCCTGGGGATGCATGTAAATAAATTTTTCAATAAAAATAATGGATTTATTCATACATTTCTTTTTAAATCAGAGTACAAGTGAAAGGTAATGATAAAAAAGAATATCAAAAGGCCAAACTAATGTAAAAAAATGCTCTAAAATACCAGCACAATATCATTAACAAAATGCCAAAAAAACTGTCAAAATATTACAGTACGACATTGTTGTCAACAGCCATTTAGTGGATTGCGGACAATTGCACTAGATTAAGGGATTCGAGTGGTGAATTAAAATTTCTAAATTGGGGGCCACATCCACTAATGACATAATAAGTGAACCCACCATTAACTAAAGAAAACAATTGACACAATTACACTACAAATAAAACGTGCTTTTAAAGAGAGTAGGGATTATCATGATGAATGGAAGTGGCGAAACCCCACCGTCCATCCGAGTTTTTGGTTTGTTTCTTCCTTATGGAAATTATACAACTCTTTCTTCCCACACAAGTGCCTTCAATTCTATTGATATGAGATAAATTTTGTTCTAACTCGGTGACGCTGAGTTTCAAATATGTGATGTTTTAGTTAATCTGGGCTTGATATCGTTAAGAAATCAACTCAACCAAAATTTCAAGTTGTGATTGTGGTTATCCTATAAGATGTCCCCTCACGTGCATACGTGTCTTCTTTGAATCTTACATGTGATACCTTAATTTTTTAAACTGGATGGTAGTGAGTTTTGAACTCGTAACTTCTTAGTCATTAAGACTCTAACATCATGTCAAGGAACAAACTCAACTAAAAGCTCAAGTTTGTGATTGTGCTTCAGGAAATGTTATTTATATTCTAACATCTTTTGACATACGGAGTATTATATACTTCCTCCATCCATAAAAATATTTCTATTTTGACTTTTAAAAAATTTAAGGGAATCATATTTTTGTTGACTTTCCAAAAATATTCTTGATGTGATATGTAGAATATTAGTTTATTATGGAGTATCATTTTTATCAATATTTTTATTAATTAATAGTGATAATAATAATTACTATTATTATTACTATTATTGTTTTAAAATTATTTATTTTTTAAGTGATTTTCCAAATCTAAACCTGAATGAATCTTATTTTATCTGATTCAGATAAAAATAAATAATGCGCACCAGAAATAAGTTGAAGAGAACAGGACCTAAAAATAAAATTAGTTTAGGGATGATGAATGTAATAATGCGATGGAGTATGTGAGGGGAGGGGAAGAAGAGAACATTGACCCCTTTGCTCCCCGCCTCCCCTCCATTTCTAATACGAACGGGAACGACGGCGTCCCTTCCGTTTTGCCCATACTATTTTTTTCCTTCTCACGTTGGTTTCGATCTTTCAATTTTGTTTGTTTGTTTCTTCCTTTGCATCTTTCTTTATAATGTTTTGACAGAGACAGCACTGCCGATGGTGGAGGAGATACCCTATGGACCGGACATGTTCCTTTCCTCCTCCCCTAAATTTTATTGTCTTATTCTTAATTTGGTCATAAGAGCTTGATAATGGTAAGACAAAAATGAAATGTCACACGGTGACATGGATTATTTCAACCAATAAAAAGTAACCTAGTCACCGTGTGTCAAATGAGTGGACTGTCGTAACATACATTGGCAAGTCGTTGTTTTTGTCTATTTTTGCACTTTTTAATACTTTTTAATTATAAAAAATTATCTTTAAAAATTATTTTATTATTAAAATATGTTTACTTCTTTTAAAAAATATTTTTTTCAAAAATTACAAATATTAAAAATATTAAAAAAAATAAAAATTGAGAGAGTCATGTCTTGTACATGAAATGAAAAGTGGAGTGGAATGACCATGAAATACCATGATTTGAGAGGAATTTGCTGACATGGCATGACAATGCAAGACATTGCATTGTCATTGTGAATGCTCTTAGCTTTCACTAAATGGAAGGAAAGAGGATTAAATTTGCTTGCGAAATGGGGAGAAAGTCGAAAAATCCCAATGAAATTGAATTCTCTAATAATTCTAATTCCTTTTTGGTATTACCAATTTCAAATCTACATATTTTTGTGCTATCAAACAGCAGAATTAGAATTATTGTCTTCAATTTTAATTTCATACTTTGAATTTCGTGTACCAGACGGAGCCTAAAGGATACACTACATAGAATTGGGAGAAACTGGAAAGAATTAGAAATAAATGAAAGGAGTTAGAAAAATTAAAGTGTCAAAAAGTTACTTAATTAAGTAATCATCCAAATAAATATGTAAGAAAACTCTAATTTTAGATAAAAAGGATTCATCCTTATCCGCATTTGAAGTGATGTGTTATAAATTAGATATATAATGTTATTTTATTTTCATCATATATAAATACCATTTCTAAGTCGTTATTAGATAAAACTGGAAAGAGTTAGAAGGTGTTGAAAGGAGTTTAAAACTATTATTTAAACAAAAAAACAGGACCTAAGATACATAAAATAAATGTGAACCTTAATAATCTCTCCGCCTAAGTATTTGTCTATTTTCAAATGTCTTTTGTCAAAATTGATAAACTTTAACTTTAAATTAAATGAAAATGACATTAAATATTCATACAAAAATAGTTTTATTAGATTTATTATATCAAATATTTTTTTAAACATTATGTTATTTAATTAATATACAATATACATTTTAGTTAATTATAAGTCAAATATTTATAATAGTTTATTTAACCCTTTTTTTACTAACATCCAAGCAAGGAATTATTCATGTTTATTCATCTCAACTAAAGACTAGCTCATCTAACAAAAACATAAGTTCCATCCGATGCACTGCATAAACAGACACATACGGACTCAGGTCATCATCATTTGTGCCGATTCCGACTCACTGAGTCCCCAAAAAGTACTCCGTACAAAACCAAATCATTCAATTCCGGCGCCGCGACTTCGATCAATCCCCAATTTAAATTCAGAGAAAGAGGTTGAGAAGCTTTGGCGCTTTCCCGCCGGCCACGTCTCCCGCGATCCGGCAACCGCTCTCCGACGTCCGCGTCCTCTCCGTACTCCCCCGCTGCGCGCCGCCGTCGATCGTCGCCGTCGGACGGGATCGGGTCACCGCGGACTGCTCCGAGCTCCCCCACGCGCCGCCCTTCTGGAACCTTCGGGAAGGATTCGGGAAATCGGCGGAGATCTGGCGCAGATCTCCCCCGGAGAGGACGGTCTCGACGGCTCGGACGCACACGTGCCAGTTCCTGGTCGCCAGAAGCCCCACCGCGCCGCTCACCGGATTCACCGTCCGCCCACACGCTTCGTACAACAACGACCTAAACAGAGCTGTTTTTGTTTTAATTAATTTTGTGTAAAATAAAATCGACTAATCAATAATATATTTAATTCAACCAAAATCTCAAAGTTATAAAGGGGGAGAAGTGTTTGGGGGGTACCGGGCCTACGGTGGAGGGGGACGGAGGAGATGAGAGAAAAGAGGTCGGAGCGGCCAAAGAATTTGGAGAGGAAGAGAGTGGCGTTGGCTTGGGCTTGGGGGTTATCCAACTCATCCAAACACGGCCTAAGGATGCAGTCGACCCCGCATCTTCTTCGAAGCACCCTGCAACCATTGCAGCTCATTCTTCTTCTTTCTTTCTTTCTTGTTAATTTCTTCCACTGAAAAAGCTGAAGAAGATAGATAGAGAAATTTTCTGATTTTTTTTAATTAGGACAATGGAAAAGAAGTGTTTTTGTTGGGTGTGAAATGTGAATTGGAATGGGATATATAATTATGAAAAATGCTAGAGGTACACCATTTGGTGTACCCCATTTATCCCCCACCCCCTCCATTACTACATAAATGGGCAAGAATTTTAAAAAAATTAAATAAATAAAAAGTAGATAAAAATGGATGGTGGAGGAGAATGTGAGGGACAAATGGGGTACACATTTGGTGTACCCTAGCATGGCTCTGTACTTTTGGTTCCAAATTGCTGGCGCAAGCGGTTCCGAGTTTCCGCGACTTTACTTAACTCACTGGCAGCCGTTAGATTTGGATTTTTTTTTTCTGTGCGAGCCGACTCACTAATCACTACCGAGTAATGTTTGTTTGTACTTTGTGCTCTTCTACTTTTTTGGCACTACTTCCCACCATTAAAATTTCGTTTCTTTCAACTTATTTTTTTATATGATCTTTTTTCTTGTAGTTTTAATTTGATCTGATCTTATTGGATCTGATCGGATCTGATCTAATCTAATTGGATCGGATCTGATTTGATTAAATCTCATCATTAAATCTGATCTAATCTGATTAATTATGATTTGATTTAAAATTAAAATCAATAATTTGATCTAACTTATAATGACTTTTGAAAAGTGTAATGATAATTGATATTACAATATAATAGTAAATATTTTTTATTTTATGATTGTTTTTTAATGATATAAAATTAGTTGATTCAAATACCCGAATAAGCATTCATATTATAATTTAATAATATTTTTTATTTTATGATTATTTTGTTATGTAATAAGAATATTAGTTTAATATTTTAATGATTAGTTCATATATAAATTAGAATAAGTTTTTAATTCATACAACAAACAACAAAAGTAATTAAATTTAGATAATCAATATATAGAAGAGATGATATTTTTATTAAATAATCTCATCCTTATAACTTATCAATGTTAAGCAAAAAAATAATACATTTTTCTGCATATTGTATAATAATATATTACATGCCTGATGTTCTTGACAAAAAAGGTTGTATGTTATAAATAATACATTGCATCAAATGTTTCACACTCATATTCTCTTCAATCCCACTCATTGAATCCCAAATTTATAATGTAATAATATAATGTAATAATATTTTTTCATTCATATTTTATAATGTAGTAATATTTTTTCATTCATATTTTATAATGTAATAACTTTAGAAACTCAAATTACACGTAGCATTTAAAATGTATTTTTAAAGTAGAATTAGATTGACATTGTTAATGTATTTTAAAACTAATTTTTTTCGAAATCTAATAATTAAGGATTACTTTCTTAGTTTTCTATTTAACTTATTTTTAAAGTTTATTCTTTTTCATTTTAAGAAAAAAAATGTGCATCATATCATTTTATTTTTCTCTACATAAATTATTATCGCACAAAAGTTTCATTTTCTTTCTTCTTATATTTTTTCAAGAGAAATTAAATTTATTTTTTGAAAGAATTGTATCAAGTGAAATGAGTAAAAAGTATGAAATTTTAAAAGTATGGAGTAATAACGATAATGATAATGATAATGATAATGATGATAATAATAACAATAATTCATAATAATAATAATAATAATAATAATAATAATTCTTGATTGGATATGATCAGTTCTGATTGAATCTGATGAGATATGATCTAATCTGATCTGATCTGATTTTAATAAGACTAAGAAAAAAGCAGAAAAAATAAGTTGAACGCAATGGAGCCTTACTACGTATACTACTATCAATATTGTAGACTGTATTTCATTGTATTAATATGTAAACAAATTTAATATAAATAACCAAGCTAAGTTATACTCCAGCTTGTTGTAATGTTATGAGTATATCAAGACAACCAAGTCATACTCTACCTTGTACATCATTTTTTTCTTCCATTACATTTATTATTTATTCTCAAATTTTGTTATCTACACAAAGAGATAAATGAGAGAGTGTTGGCTGGACTACATCCATAAACTAGACATTCAAAAGTCTTATTCATTGATTTTTGAATGAACTTTGTGATAGGATCTGAGTTTGACAATAAAAAAAGTGAACATACACGTAAATAAAATACTCTAAGAAACTATGGTCTTGTTTGGCATCAGCGTAATGATTAGCGTTAGCGTTTTGAAAAAATTATCCAACGGTAACTTTTAGATTCAGCATTTTTAGAATAAATCTATACTATTAAAATTTTATTTAAAATACTAACGTTAATCGAAAACTTTGTTCCCAAACAAGTCCTATATAAACGACCCACTCTAAACTCTAGCATAGACTAGAAAAAAACGAAAAAAAACACATGCAAGAAAGAAGAAAGCAAATTGCAAGTAGGGCAGATTTGAGAGACATGGTCCAACTCCAAACAAAGCATTTGGGCTGAACGTATGAATGATAAAGAGCCCAACAAAAAAATAAGAATGCGAGATATAAAATTTTGAGAGAAAGTATCCAAGAAAGGATTTACGGAGTAATATTTTTATATCTAAATAAAAATTATAATGTCAACATATAATATAAAAAATACGATGGTATGCCAATATGCAGTTGACAGTGCAATCTTCTATTTTGAGATTAAAAATATGGAATTTCAGTTTTGTTATTTTCTCTATTTTGTTCTTATCATAGGTGAGTTTATTAATGTTGTCAACTTAAATTGGACACTTCCTTCACGTAGCTAGGAAGGATATTTCTCAACAAATTATTACAAATGGTGGAACGGGTTTATTACGGGTTGTTATTATTTAATTTAATCTAATCTATTCTAATTAGGTGAGTGAATTATAAGTTCTTACAAAAAATGATACTCCCTCCGTCCGGAAATATTCTTCCCATTTTCCTTTTTAGTCCGTTCGGAAATATTCTTCCCATTTCCTTTTTTAATATGCTTTTTAAGGCTAAATATCAATTATACCCTTCTATTTTATCACAAATCTACTTTTTTAATACTTTTTTAATAATAAAAGGATATTTAAAAGTTTATGGTAAGTGCATTTTTGAAAATTTTGCATTTTTTTAACTATTCCTTAATAAGCGTGCCAAGTCAACACGGGAAGAAAATTTCCGGACGGAGGGAGTATCTTTTTTGAATCGATACTGACACACTTAAGAATCAGAATATGATTACAATTAGCATTTCTACCTTTTTTAAAAATATATATGTACCCCTTCACAATAATGAATAGAAAATATTCAAAAAAAGAGAAAATTATCCATAATAATTTTACTTTAGCTTTACCTTATCTTTAAAAAATAGTCGCACAATTCACTGTGAGCTAAACAAACTGGGTGAGACCGAATTGTTGGGGACTGCTCTCCTTATCCTAACTTGTGTGGGATTCTACTTTTCTCCATAAGTTTTAATACTCTCTCTCTTATGAAAAGACTTTAAATTTTATTTTTTGTTTGTCTAAAAAAAGATTTACTTTTCATTTTTTTAAGTAATTTTGTGATTTTTATAATTTCTCTTCTCTACATTATCTCAACCACATAGGTTCACTTTTCTTAATTTTTTTGTAAGTCAAAGGTGAACTTCTCTATGACACAAAAAGATTAATAAATTTATTACATTACTAAGAAGTGCACCAAATCTAAAATAATTTTTTTTACTTTTCTTATGTTGAGTAAATTCCTAAAATATTACTCTCTAATAAGGTATTTTCTAAATCAATCTACAATAAATTTAATTACATACGTGGTCTTTTATAATTGAAATTTATTCTTTAAGTAATCATTCGTAAATAATATTATCCAAATGATTATTAATTGGGGGTATTTTGATTTTTTATCAGCTAAATTTAAAACAAATTCTTAAAATGATCATTTCTAATGAAGTACTCCCAAATGATTAAAGATGTGTATTTGATGCAAATTTTAATTTTTTATAGGTTTTTGATAATTAATGGATTATGTATAGTAATTTATTGTTTTATTTTACATTTAATATAGGTATGACCAGTTCCTTCAAACTCTTTCCAGTTCTTCCGACTCTTTCCAATTCCTTCTAATTTCTTCGAACAACCAACTCTGAAATTTCAACCCTAAAAAATAGGATCTTAAGCTACTTATACACCAGAAGTTAAACTCCAAATCGTATACTATAGATATACACTTTCATTTTGTACATGTGTGATTGTTCACACATGCACAAAATGTTAGTGCAAATTTTGTTGATTGGAGTAAATTGTGCCAGTGTCGAAATGTAGGTGAATATTTTTGGGGTACATTTTGGGGCACTCTCTTGTACTCCTAACATGGTGTATATAGACATGGAGTATGATGTATGTCAATATTTATTCAATTTTTATGTATATGTTTGGATTTGACGTGTATGTGATTTTTTTCTAAAGTACGAGCATTTTTTGTTAAGTTATTTAATATTCGTAATAATTTGCTATAGGTTATTCTTAATGCCTAACAGTGACTATTGTCTATGTCTTATTATTATTCTTACTTTTATGTTTGGATTTGCTATAGGTTATTCTTAATGCCTAACAGTGAATATTGTCTATGTCTTATTATTATTCTCACTTTTATGTTTGGATTATGTAAAAAATTTCTTCATTTTTAAGGGTAAAAGTCATGTGGTTGAGGAGTAAAAGTCATGTAAATATTACTCTTCTCTTTATTCTACACAGATCACAACAATGTTACGTTGCTAAAAATTCTATCAAGTTAATGAGGAGTAAATTTAAGAAAGTGTCACCTCCGTTTCTAAATATTTTCCCTGTTTTGATTTTTTCGATTAAAATTGACAAAATTTAACCACTAATTAAATAGAATTGTTATTAAATATTGATATAAAAATGAATTTATTAGGTTTATTTTATATAATATTTTAAAAATAATATTTTATCTAATTAATATATCGTACATTTTTTATTTAATTCGAGGTCAAAAATAAAAATGCTTGACTATAAAATATTAAAATTAGACAAATATTTAGAAATGAAGATATAACCATTTAATGATTTTAAGTTCTAACAACTGCCGTCAAATCCCAAATTAGAATAGAATAATGCACTGTAGGCTCAAAGCAGCCACAAATCATAATGTTGATGGTTAATGGGTGGGGTTGGAGACAAATGTGGATGCATGATGGTTAATGGGTGTCAATCGGTCAATCCCACGTAACATACATTTCCCAATTTTCTCTCACTGCTTCTATACATACACCTTGTACATGCCATTTTTGTTGATTTTCATATATTGATTTTTTTTTTATTAAAAAAAGAAATATTATATAAATAGTACGGAGTAAAAAATTACCTATTTTGCTCATATGTAGGTCACTATAGAATTTGTTTTTCTCTTAATATCATCGTCGTTCTCATGATTTGCCCGGTCGAGTAAAAAATATTCCATTCTTGAAAAAGATTTGCTTGTACATTTTTATTAATATTCACAAATTGTTTGTCCTAAAATTATTTTATATAGATACATATTTTCACAAAAATTGTTGCTTGTCCTAAAACTATTTTTCTCTGGATACATATATTCATTATCTAATTTTGGACAGAGAAAGTATAAAAATACATTTGGGTAACAAAAAATTACCAAAAGATTAAGATAAAAGCACATATATACTCTAATTTTATTATTATTCCGTATTATTATCTTTGATTAGAATGATATTAGAGTTTGGACCCCTTAAAATGAGATCTTACAAGCCTCTTCATAGGTGAGACCCAGGGGTCAATAGCATCCATGGTAGACACGATGTTATTGTAGCAATTGGAGAATCAAAGCGTATTTGTGACAAATTAAACACTTTAAATTGTAGCATTTGAATTATATTCTTTACAATTAACATTTATACTTTTATCGTCGCTCACGACATATTAAAAGGTTATTCTAATGACCTAGCTATAAGCTCGGGCTAGGTCAATATGTTAAAAGGTTATTCTAAAGAACGTCATTTTGGACATTGGAGTGTTGGGAAGTAACCCCCTTCCCTAATGGGATTGGATTGAAGTATTGAACTGTTAATTCAGTTAATATTGAAAATACAGATGCAATTGTGATGGGTGAATAGATAGTAGATACAAAGATCCCCTCCTCCCACGGTTAAAGGCATTCATCAGCTCAAAATTTACAGAGCTATTTACCCTTAACAAGAAACTAAAAATGTGGAATCTTTGAACAAAGAAAGATTGCTTCCCTCTACGTTCTCCGTCAACAAAAACACACCCAAATTTAAAGCAAAGTAAAGGCGCAAATGTAAATCCTACATACAAGCAACCGGTAATAATTAATTATACTCCGGCCTGTAGGCTGTAGCTGCTATTTACAGGATTACAGTTTCACTTTTCACTTTTCTACCACTGGCGTTGTGGGACCCGGGCCACCGTCTCAGATCTCAGCAGGGGGTTCCAAGCGCGGCGGCGCTGGCCGATCTCGGCTGCCGCAGAAGCTGTATCAGCGTCTCCGCCTGTTCAGGAATCAATTCATACTGAATCAATTAACACCAATAATTATTAATCAATTATTGCATTTGCGATTTTACCTTTTGTTTGGCGCGGTTAGTGCCGGACTGCGACAAAGCAACGAGGGGAGGAATCGCCCCCTCGCGGGCCACCATTGTACGGTATGGCAAGCTCTCCTCACATAGCTGAAGCAGTATCGACACCGCAATCTCTTTCTGTCTCTGTGACCCTACCTCCACGATCTCCACCACCACCGGTATTCCGCCTTCCTCCACCAGCGCCGCCCTCGCCTCCGCCACCGAGGCCAGCACGTTCACCACGAATCCAGATTTGTCCACCATGCTTGAGCTGAAATCCGCCATTAGTTCCACAAGAGGTTTCATTATTCCGGCTTCCACCGCTCGCACCTTGTTCTCCTTTGCCGAGCACAGCGAGTACAGGGCCGTGGACGCGTCCTTTTTGCCTCGTAAGTTCCCGTTCTCTAGGAGATCCACTAGCGGTGGAATCGCGCCGGACCGTCCGATTGCGATTTTGTTCTCTTCGAGTTGGGAGAGGCGGAGCAGGGCGCAGGCGGCGTTCTCCTTGGCGACGGAGGTGCCGAGCTTGAGAGCGCGGACGAGCGGCTTGATTGCTCCCGAAGCTGCGATGAGCGGCTTGTTCTCGTCGCAGAGAGAGAGGTTGAGGATTGCGGTTACGCCGTATTCCAGAAGCTGTGGATCGGGGGAAGAAATCAGCGAAATCAGCCGTTTAATTGCGCCGGATCGGGCGATTTTGATTCTGTTCTCCGGCTTGTTCTTTGCGAGGAGGCGGATTTCCATCGCGGCTTGCTTTTGCTCTTCGATCGATGTCGAATCCAGGCCGGAGACCAATTGACTGATCAAATCATCGGAGTTGTCCGCGGCGCAGGCCAGCAGGAGACGGCGGCTCTGGGAGGAAGCCGTCGGGAACTCGCCAGATCTATCGCTGTCGCAGTCGCTGAAAGCGGAAGAGTTATCGTGGATGCTGAGATCGCTGAAACTTCGCCCCTTATATCTGTAATTGGATTGAACCTCCGTTTCCATGGCGGGAAAGTGGCACGCAGCTCTGCTTCTTCAACTAGTCCGCCTGAGTTTAGATTTCCCCGGCGAGATAAATCTGCCGGAAGAGGAAAAAGGGATAGAATATCCGATTAGTGGCTGTTGCGCCGGCGCAGCCGATTGGGAAAGGATTTTAGATAGAAAAGGGAAAAGTATTAATGGTAGTGAGGAGAAGGAATAGAGAATAGAGAGGGGGGGAGAACCAGCTCCTGGATTAGAGCAATTAGGGAAAGGAGGGACACGTGCACTACCGTACCCGAATCCCTGCCTATAGCACGTGGGAAGGCTTACTATTCCTTTTTTTTTCTTTGAGTTTATTGCGTGAACCTTTTAGTTTAGTAAATGTGCACCGTTATTTTTTAATGTTTCAAAATTTACATTGTTGTCCTTTAATTTTGTACCGTTTCAATTTCATAGAATTTAAATTCATCTAAATCAATTTTATAAAATTTAACTTCTAATTCAATTTCATGAATTCCGTAGATCAAGCAGACCCTAGGGGAAATTCAAACATTAACCCATTTATTATTCTCATACTCCGTAGTATTGAGCAACTAATCCACAACTCGTTATATGGGTGAAGAATATGTAAATGGCAACAAAATTTCTCACCAAAAAAGAAAGGAAATGTTGGGGCATTGCGAACCATCCCACACAGGTGGGGAGAAGAAATTGAGCCTAAATAAATATGTTCAATTCAACTTATTAATATGAAGTTTTTTAAAAAGTGTCTATACTTTATTTAAAAATAGAAGAATGTTTTCCCATCCAAACGTGAAAGGATTAAATGGAAAGTTTTGTGCATGTTACCTCATTACATTTATTCTAAGCATTAATATTGGTAAGTATTACTTAATAAGTACTACTCCCTCCGTCCAAAAATAAACTTCTCACTTTCCTTTTTTGTCTGTCAACAAATAAACTTCCCATTTCCTTTTTTGGAAACTTTTTTACACTAAAATGTCTTAACTACCCTCACTTCCCCATTGCTTATCTTTTCTTTTTTCTTCCTTTTCCCACTCGGTTAACTCACCATTCTTATCCTCTTCATTCATATTCTTCTCTCTTCCTCTTCATCTTCATCTTTCTTTTTTCTTTCTTTTCTTATTCTTCTTCTTCTTTGTTTTCTTTCTTTTCTTATTCTTTCTTCTTCTTTTCCTCGTAGCTAGTCGGCTGGCCGGATTCAGCCATGGCGGCGCTGCAATACCTGGACTCGCTTCGCAATGCCCACCCCGAACTCTCCGATTGGTACACTAACCTCGCAGATCTGTGCCAGAGAAAGCTCTGGCACCAGCTCACTCTCAAGCTGGAGGAATTCGTTTCCCTATCCCATCTCAAATCTTATCAGAGGTAACACGCCGAAGCAGCAAGGCAGTGGTCGGAGATGACGCCGCAGTCGGATCTGCTCCTCTTCCAACATAGTCGCCATCAATTTCATAGATCTACAAGTCCTCCGTTGCTCATAACTCCGCCTCTCGCCGTTAAACCATCGGATTCAGGACATTCACCCTTGCCTAAGTTGTCTTCAACGAGAACCAGAACAGATCTACAAAGTGGGGATTATAGAAGAGAGGCCATCCATGGTGGTGCCGGAGATTTGCCGTCGACAGTGCCAGAGGGTCATCAGCATGAATGCATCATGGACAGAGGGATGTTGGAGAGGGTCAGGATTGAAGAGGTGTGGGGGGTATAATTGGAAAGTCAAGGCCATTTTTATCATACATTAATATGCGTGCCCGGTCAAACCGGGAAGTTCAATTTTGGACGGAGGGAGTATATTATAATTTTTTTGGCTTGGAGATTATATAAAATGTCAAAATAATATATGGAAAGTGTTTTACTCGAGTAACATGTGAGTAAGTATTAATATTGGTAAGCATTAATTAAAAATTATTATGTTTCCATTTTTTAGTTGAGAGAATACAAAAAACATATAAAGTGTATTTCTATGTTTCTATTTTTATAAAAATGTTAGGCTGATTATTATTTCTAATCTAAATACGAAAATAAAAAAAATTACAAATTCCAAAATCAGTAAAAAATTAAATTTTTTCTACATATTGGTAAGCATCAATTAATGAATACTGTGTTTCCATTTTTTATTGCTATAATACTAAAAAATATATTGCATATTTCTACTTTTTCATTTTCATGAAAAGGCTAATTACTATTTCTAATCTAAATACAAAAATAAAAAAATTACATATTGGTAAGCATTAATTAATAATTACTATGTTTCCATTTTTTGTTGGGAGAATATAAAAAGATATAGGGAAATGTTTAGTTCACAAATACAATCGTCACAAATTTCACAAACTTACTATTTGTGAACTTCAATAAAAAATTTAAATATTCTAAAATAATTTTAAAATAAAAATGTAAACTATATATAATAAATTTGTAAAATTTTAATCATTCTATTTGTGAACCTAAAATTGCTCATCATTTTTAACATTTATTGAATGCGCAATTTAATGAACTAGGCAGGCTGCGAAACGACTCTCCCAACTCTCAGGCCGTTCTGCCACCATTCAAGTAAATGGGCCCAACAAAATAACTGCAAAATTTAATGAATGCATACGCTCCCTTGCGTGGATATTGCCTGCTGCTTTATGGGCTTCATCATGGGCCCTTCGTTAGACCCATTGAGTTCCTTCTTTGTAGTTTCTGAGTGTCTTAATTTTTTACTCCGTACTTTTTTTTTTTTGAAAACAAAATCAAGTGACATTTCATTAGACAAGAACAAGTGAAGTAATATACTCCCCTTCAAATCTCCAAGAGATGACACCGTCCGCTAGCAAGAGCATGGCATCAACATTGAAATGACCAATAGAATTAAATAAGTTGATGGGTGTTGCGTAACTGGCAAATGTGGGTAGTGTCAATGTGGTAATACCGTTCCAAAAAACTTTTTTTTGTTTACTATACTAGGCTTTCAATAACTTCTTTTTACACATGTTTTTTCCGTTTGTCATTTCATAAAATAAAACATTTTTGTCAAAATTTATTTTGTATAACTTTTAATTTTGGTTTAAATATATAAGTTGTACTAAGTATTTATAGACCAATTTATATATGGGGCATACTATTTTTACAATATACACTACAAGAATTTATCTGGTCTGCAACGAAAATCTTTTACGGACATCTATCTGTAGCATATCTGCAAGGAATCGGCGACGGAAGTATAATTCTTGAAAAATAAACATTATCTGTGACGGACTATAGATTTATGTGGCAGATCAGCCACAGAACATATGATACTGTCGCAAACTCTAAGATGCCTATTTAGGTCAAATTTTGCCTAGGTCATCTGCGACAAATTCCTTTTAAATTGCTACATATCTATAACAATCCTACAATAATATTCTTTTGGAATAGCTAAGTTGCCCCTTCTATAGTCCCTGTTTGGACATTTTAAATTGCTAAAATAATAATTAAGGGAGGGAGGGATGCAAGGGATTGGTTGGAGGGTTAGTGGGTGTTGGAAGGAGGTAAGAATCATCAGTTTTATGAACGAAACACCCTAGATACTCTAATTTAGTTGTTGTAGGATTGTTGCCATTTTTTTGTGTGATAAGTTTATACTTTCTCTATATGTATAAAATCATTTAAAAAAAGATATTATATGTTGTTCAAAAAAGAAAATGTTTTTGACAAAAGGAGTATACTTTATAATATTATATTCTTGATATCACGATGAATTTAAATCTATCATCTATAATTTGTGCTGAGTGCTAATTTGGCCAAAAGAACAAATTATAAACTTTTTAAAAGGCGAGGGTAGTGTATTTAATGATTTAACGAATTGTACATTACCAGAACTAAAGAATTACAGTATATAATTTTATTGAATAAAAGAGACTTTTCTTTTGATGAATTTACTTAAATAGTACCAAAACATAATGACTTTTCCTAAATAGTACCACATGTGTTTTTCTTTCAAATGTAGCACTTTTAGTCATTATGCATTAGTCATTATTCAAGTAAATATTCGCCATTACAGGACATTATGGACATTATTAAGTGCTATTTAGGGAATAAAATAATTTAAGTGCTATTCAGTGAAATGACTTAAGTTTTAGTGCTATTTAGTGCAAATATTTCTTTTCTTATTTATAAAAAAAATGAAGTTGTTTGCTTGTTTCCCACCAAAAACAAGGCCATTTCTTTTGGGGGAAATCACAAGCATTGAAAGAGGACAATGTTGGGTTGATGAGAAAAAGAAGGGGAAACGTCATTGTTTTTTAACTTTTTAATTACACACAACTCGAATTAAGTACACTAATTTGGTGGGTGTTGTTTGGATGCCCCTCACGCCACGGCAAAAGACTTCAAAATTCAAAGGATGATCGAGATGGTTGTTGTTGGCCCGATATTAGTCCCTAGTCAATGGTTTTTAATTCCCACTTTGCACATATCCATTTGTACCATCACACTTGGCATAAATCTGTTCAATTCCTTATGTTAAGCTATACTCATTATTTCAATTTATTAAACTATTTGTACTCTAAAATTTATACTTTAAATTATACATTACAGGTGTACGCTTTCATTTTGTTTCAGACTGATGCTAAGGTGATGATTCATACATGTATAAAATGTTATTGCAATTTTTTGAATCACATTAAGATTTTGTATACCTGTGTGAACTATCAACTTTTTAGTGTATGTCTTTAGAGAAATACTAGAGTCACATACACTTCAGTCATAAAATACACAACCTTGCCATTTATGCAACTCACTAAATGAATAAAATGATATTGAATAATTAAAAAGTAAACATTAAAATATAAAAATGGTAAGTTTGTGTATTTTGTGACCGAAATGTCTGTGACTCTAGCATTTCTCATGTCTTTAGTGTAATTTTGAGATATATTCTTTGGTGTAATTGTAACATATTTTTATTTCAATACTAATATCATTAAATAGATAAGTTTTTGCATGTTTGATCGAACATCAAAGAGTTTTTAAGTGCACGATGCTTGGGGGGTGAACCATGCTTGTGTGAACTTATGATTAACAATGGTCGTACCTTTCATTTTAGATTAAGAAGTTGTCCTCTGTTAGTTTGATTTTATTACTGTTCATTTTGTTTTAATTAAACTTAAAATTGTTTCTCACAACTAGTTTGATCCTACAAGAGAGAAAAAATAAAAAGGCTCGGGATAAAATACATGGAAAAACAAAAATAAGATCTTCATATTTTTATATCTACAATAGGACTAACAAAAAAATATTTTGAAATTTTAATATACAGTATCATATTGCTACATTGTAAAATCATGCTTTAGAATATTTTTTCAGAAAATAAGACTAACTTATGGAATAAATAATATTTTCTCCATTCTATAAAAAGATTTTATATTTTTTTTCTTTCTAGTCCTAAAAAAGATTTTATTTTTCACTTTTAAAAAAAGAAATGGTGACTCTCTTAATATCTCAACTAGGTAGGAAATTAGACTAAACAAAGGAACAGAGATTAGGAACGAAGGAAAACCACTTGAATCCGCAGCTCCATTTGTCCGGCAAGGAGGGGCACCTGGACAGCCAATGCCATGTCTTCCTCGAAACCTTAAAGTACAGAATCTCCGGCCACGTGTAGCAGCATACGCACACCACTCCTTCCTGCCAGAAACAGTACACGTGCTCGTAGTTGTGGTAACAAACCGACCCCAACTTCCGGCCCATCATCCCCGGCACGTCCTCCAGCCCCACCCACGACCCGCCGCCGCCGCCGTCGCCTTCCTCCCTCTCCCACAGCTTCACCTTCCTCGAGATCCCTTCCGTCCCCACGCCGCCGATCATGTACATCTTCCCGGCGCCGTCGCTGACCAGGCGGGCGAACGTCAGGTCCTCCGCGGGCAGGTCCATCCCCGACCTCCGCCACTCCCCGGCGGCGAGGTCGAAGAGGAAGACGCGGAACGGCTCCGGCGTGACGAAGTAGAGGGAGCCGCGGTGGAGGACTCCCTCCTGGTGGTGGTTGATGCAGTTGCTGAGGGTGGGCTTGAAGTCCTGGAACTTCCGCCACGACCGGCGGGAGGAGTCGTAGAGGAAGGTTGACTTCCACGGGGACCGGGAGGAGTCGATGACGAAGATGCTGTAGTTCCCGGCGGGGGCGGGGACGAGGGTGAGGGAGTCCGGGTGGAAGGGCAGAATGGGGAACTCGACGACCCGGGAGGTGTTGGTGAGGAGATTGGAGACGAGGAAGGAGTCGCCGTGGGAGTTGGGGAGGGAGAAACAGAGGAGGCCGGCGGCGGAGGAGAGGAGAACAGGGGAGGGGAGGGTGAGGGAGCCCCAGCGGTCGTGGGCGGGGTCGAAGAGAGGGTATTTTCGGGAAAATTGGGGGTGGGAAAGCAGGAAGAAGGAGGGGAGAGAAGGAGACGAGGGAGATGATCGAGAGAAATTGGTCAAGAAAGGGGGAGAGGAGAGGAGGGAGTGGAAGTGTTTGCAGGTGGATCTGAAGCTCAATAAGGTCTTCAATGGAAGGAAGGAAAACACTCTTTCGATTAGGTCTTTGGGCATCAGACTCCATATCTTTGGATCCATTATTATCTTATCTCCGCCTCCCATTTCTAAGCTCTTCTTCGTCTTCTTCTTTTCTCTATATTCATATATACTCCATGGATGCGTGTAAATGGTGTACTCCGTAATATAATACTCCCACTGTAGACAGCTATGTTTGAACGCGCACGAATCACTTTTATAAAGGGAACGCGCTCATAAAGGATTAGGCAACTGAAATTTCACTAAAACATGAGTTATTTCCTAATGTTTGATTTAAATTTTTCTATTTCATAAATAGAACTTAATAATGACTAGTGAGAAGAATGATGTCCTACTGATGCTGGACATTTAGTTGAACAATGACTAATAGATAATGACCAAAGGTCTCACATTAGAAAATAAAAATATATGGTCCTATTTTAAGAAAGTCATTATGTTTTAGTCTTATTTAAGTAAATTACCTTTTTGTATTAACTTTTTAAAAATACTTTTCATAGTTAAAAGAATAATGTGTTTGACATATTATTAATAAAAAAGGTATGATGTGATAGTTTAGTTACTCCCTCCGTCCTAAAACTTTCTTCCCAGAGCACTTTTTCAACTTCACGGGAATTTATATTTATTTGTGTTTTTTCATGGCCTATATGATAAAATAAAATATTCTTGTCGCCACTTGTTTGTTGAACTTTTGATGTACTCCCTCCGTTTCTTAAAACCCTTCCTCTTTCATTTTTTTTTGTTTTTCTTAAAACACTTCCCTTTTCTATTAAAAAATCACTTTTACCCCTACTTTTTCATACTCTACCTAGCACATCATACTTTTTCACTAACAACTAAACTATCACATCTTACTTTTACCATCACATCAAGAGAAAAATTAGAAAGTCAACTACAATTTAATACTTTCTTATTTTTCCCCAAAGTCAAAAGAGAAATCGTTTTGAGAAACGGAGGGAGTAGTTTTTAAATATGTACTACCTCCGTCTCAGAGTATTTGTCCATTTTCATTTTTACACACCATCCAATACACTTCTTTAATCCATTTTATCTTGTAATTTGTATATTAAAAAATTATAGAATTTATATATTAATAATCTATATGTTAAGACGAATCAAACAAGATCACACATGACTATTTTTAGGCTTACACATTGAGAGAATTTGATGAGTCAAAGTGCTTAGATGAACAGTTCCAAAAGTCAAAAGTGGACAAAGACATTGGGACGGAGGTAGTATAAATAGACCCTCTGTTAAGAGAGAGATAGGAAGATTATTCAATACACAACATATTGTGAGATACACTTTTTATTCTTATTTTCTTGATTGGATCTTGAGATCCATCACTCGTTTTTTACACTTATTCAATTTACTATTTACTACATGGCCAAGAGCAAGAATAGAAAATCAAGTATTTTTTAATTTTACATTAAAATTACGTTAAGTCAAAAATGAAAAGAAAGATATTAGAATTGGAAACAAAACAATTTGGGTGACAATAGTTGAAGTTAAATTGAAACAGAGGAAGTAGAATTTGAATTGTAAGAAAAAATTCACGGAGTATCTTTTACTTTTGCATTCATCCTTAAGTAAAAAGAGATGTTAGAGTTACAAACATAAATGTTACTCCGTACAAAGTACATGGGTTTTCCGTTTATGAACTTCAATTTTATTTTTTTATTATTTAAAATCATTTTATCCTCTTAAGTAGGTTCAAAAATACTCAGATTCGTAATATTAATGTGAATTGGAGACATTTGTATTTGTGACTTTAGTATTTCTTTATTTGGTGTGACTGTCATTTTTTTCATAGATATATTTAAAGTTTTACTGTTGGATACATATTAAATATGTGTTATTATACGGAGTAAATTATAAAGTAAATATTTGTTATATTATTATATGGATATAAGTACGAACACATCTAGATGTAAACTTTACTTTAAGAGACTAAAAAGTATGTATTGTGAATAAACATTACACATCTGGAGTATTAGATTGTAATGACATTAAAAAAATATGGAGTATGAAGTTCTGTCTTAGCTTGAGTGATAAAAAGATCACTTTCCAAAATTAATGTAAATATTCACTTTAGTTTGATTCCTAATGGAAGTGAAGATATTTATTTTTTGTACGTCATTTGGTAAAGAAAGTAGAAACATATATTATATTACATTGTAATAAAATAAATAACACTAAAAATGAAGTGTTGAAAAAAACTAAAAAAAAATACCCATTTTGTAAGAGTAGCATCTACTTGAACAAAATCGATGGACGTAGCTCAATTGGTTAGTGGTTACGTAAGAGACGTCAAAGTGAGAAAATCCAAATTCAATTCTTCAAATGTGCTGGGAAATAACTATGCTAATCACATGTTCTCTATAGTACCAATTCACCGTGTCACCTTTTTCGAAAGACCTTAAAAAATGAGGCTCATGTTCATCCTTAAAAAAAATCAAAACAATAAGGGAAATGCTTGGTTCACAAACTCAAACTTCACAAATTTACCATTTGTGAATTTCAATGAAGAAAATTAAATAGTCTAAAATAATTTTAAAATAAGAATTTAAACTATAAATAGTAAGTTTGTGGAGTTTGTGATCATTCTGTTTGTGAACGTAACATTGTTCAAACAATAAAGCAAGAAATGAAGCAAAATGGAATGCTATTTTGACGTCCGCGAGAACACACATTCACCCACAGCTCTCTCTCTCTTTCTCTCCCTCCCCCTCTCTCTCTCTCTAACAGCGGCTAAGACTTGACTGAACTGGAGAGCCTGCATTCAAACTCCATAATTAACTTGTAAACTATGCTCAAGTCCACACATACCCAACATATTCTTATTCTCAAGTAGTTATCTTTTTTCACTAATTTCAGAGGACCAAACAAGTGAATGTAGGGCTCCCTATTATGGTTAATTCTACTCAATTACTTAAAGCTCCTCCGGCGTCCTGCCCTTGACTGTTGAATCGGATTCCCGTAAGTTTTCTTCATTTATGTATTCTGATTTGAGCACTTAAATCAATTTTTTCAGCTATTTGTTTCCTAATTACTTGCTGTTTTGATTACTTCATAATGAGGCTTTTTAGATATGATTCTAGGAATGTTCTGTCAATTTTGTTTATCTTTNACATATTCTTATTCTCAAGTAGTTATCTTTTTTCACTAATTTCAGAGGACCAAACAAGTGAATGTAGGGCTCCCTATTATGGTTAATTCTACTCAATTACTTAAAGCTCCTCCGGCGTCCTGCCCTTGACTGTTGAATCGGATTCCCGTAAGTTTTCTTCATTTATGTATTCTGATTTGAGCACTTAAATCAATTTTTTCAGCTATTTGTTTCCTAATTACTTGCTGTTTTGATTACTTCATAATGAGGCTTTTTAGATATGATTCTAGGAATGTTCTGTCAATTTTGTTTATCTTTGTTTTGAGATAGATATACTTCGTAATAAATGCCTAAATAGAATTTGTGTTTGTATTGAAATTGTGAAAGTTATACCTAATGCTTTATGAATCAGATAACATTTAACACCCCCAACAGAGTTTGAATGTGTTTGGTAAAACATTGGAAAGAGCGGGACACAAAAATGGTGAAGAGACTGTAATTGTATCAGAAAAATGTGATTTTGATATGGATGGAGCTGAACCCTAATATGCTTCCCTGCTGTTTTCATATTTTATACTTTAGTGGTCAGCTCACTTAGCTGTTATAGCAGCAATGGTTCTTCCTTTAATTTCTCTCGGAATGGGACCTTTGAAATGTTCTGATTTAGTTCCAAATGCGTATCTATCAAAATCTGCCTTAAAACTCTATATGTACACCATCACTTTTATTGTCTTTTGCTCTGAATCTAGCACTCTAAACATCTGCCGTTTCTGGACATTATATGTATAAAGACTCATTAGAAGCCTGTTTCGTGGGGGTAAAATTTGGTTGATTTCGCTAAATTTGCTGCAATTGCAGTTGAGATCGCTAAACAAGCTCGAATCATCTAACAATGTAATGAAATTTATTTCTAAAAATAAACTAAGTGTAGTAACTAGAATATTATGGTATAAGCATCCTGTATCATTGTTTTAGTAAATTCAACTAAAAAGTAATGCTTTTTATCTTCAACTTATTCTACTATTGCATTAAATAACTCGCTGTTGGTGTTGGGTAGAACAACTTGCTTTTAAGGCTCTTAAGCCAAATAAGAAAGGAACTCAACGAGCACAAGGCAGTAGGTATTTTATTTAGTGGAAAAAGTCTTCCTTCCCTTTATTCAAAGACAGAGAAAAATGGAATCTTTAGATTCACCTCTTCATTTGATATAAATAAATACTCTTCTCATCTCCTGAATGATGTGGTTGTTACTCTTCCAGCTGTTCTTGGTCTCGATCTGTTTTATTGTGTTCTACACTCTGATGTCAGGCATTGGATAAATGCCATTTTATGAAGTTTCATTAATAAGAGTTTCTAGGTTGTTTTTTCAGTTCAAAATGGTTCCACGAGGAGCTCCTAACACACTTAGTACTTCCCAGTCTGTCCCGTCTTCACTGTTGCGATCAAATTCTGCTCTGTTGGGTGGTCAGGGAGGTTCCATCTCATCACAGGGTGATTTCCCCTCTGTCTCATCCCCGCGTATGCAATTTGGTAACATGAATAATATGCTCGGGAATGGCTCCAATGTTACGTCTCTACTGCATCAGTCGTTTGGAAACAGGGGGCCTAATCCTGGGTTCTCTGGACCCGGGAGTACTCAAAGAGGTCTTGTTGACAATGGCGCTGAATCTGATCCACTTTCTAGTGTTGGGAATGGAATGGGATTCAATGTGCCACCTTCATCATTTGTTCCAATGGCCACATCCACGAATTCTGATATGGCTGCCCAAGTTCAGGGACAAAAGTTTCTTAGTGCTTCTGGGAACCAAATGTTTACAGACCAACACCAATCCCAACAACTGGATCCCTTGAGTTTCCAGCATAATCAACAGCTCCCACAGTTCTCTACCCCTGACGGTTCTCAGACACAGCAGCTTCATTCGATGCAAAGTGGATTAGGAAATGTTGCTTCTGTTAAACCAGAGCCACAGGTTGCCAATGATCAAATGCCACTGCAATTGCAAGCTTCACAAAACATGGCCACAGGGAAATTGGAACAGCAGCAGATAGAAAACATGAGAGGTTTGGCCTCTCAGGTTCCCAGTCAATCTCCACATCACTTGCAAGCTTTACGGAATCTTGCCTCAATGAAACTGGAACCGCAACAGCTACAAAGCATGAGAGGTCTGGCGCCCATCAAAATTGAACCACAACATGCTGATCCATCTTTGTTTATTCAACAGCAACAACAGTTACTTCAAATGTCTAGGCAGTCACCTCAAGCTGCTGCCATGGCCCAGCTTTTGCATCAACAAAGACTTATGCAGTTCCATCAACAGCACCAACAACAACATCTCTTGAAGGGTGTGCCTCAACAAAGGAATCCACTTCAGCCACAATATCAACCATCGAATATATCTTTTAGATCTCAAGCAAAACCATTTTATGAGCCTGGGATGTGTGCACGCAGATTGACTAATTATATGTATCAGCAACAGCACAGACCTGAGGTAAGAGCAATGCCTTGAAGATATCTTTGCTTACATCATATTGTTAAGTCAATAAAGCTTATATGGAACATGTCATCAAAATTGATGACTTTCCTATAACCTGAATTGGAGACCAAAATTAACCATTAATGTTATTGATGTACTTTCCATCATTTGTCATTATGACATTCTCACATTCTTTAGGCATTGTTTAATACTCCCTCCCCTCTGTAAAAGAGCCATGTTTTGCCAAATGTACAACTTTTAGATATATGTTTTTTATTGGTTAATTTGAGTTTAAAAAAAGTGAAAAGAATGTGGAGTAGTAATTTTCATATGATATACATAGTGGTTTTTTGCATTGTTATGGATTTTTTTGATCATTTAGGTTCTCTATGCTTAACAACTTGTTATTTTATAGGACAACAATATTGAATTTTGGAGGAAATATGTAGCAGAGTATTTTGCTCCCAATGCTAAGAAAAAGTGGTGTGTCTCAATGTATGGAAGTGGCCGTCAGACAAATGGGGTCTTTCCTCAGGTTTGTTTCCGCAAAATATTCATTTACAGTTCAACTTCAGCAAGGAGTGGCCTTACCTAATGTTTGCGTATGTTGTTTTTTATTTTAATGATGTTGCATGTTATATTGAAGAGGATACATACTTTTGATTGATGATGATTTTATATTTTAGGATTAATGTATGTCAATTATCTTAATTCCATATCCAACCAAATACAGTCGCTCTTCTGAAAACTGCAGGATGTCTGGCATTGTGAAATATGCAACCGCAAGCCTGGGCGTGGGTTCGGTATGATATTGTGTCATTCACATGTACTTTCGCATAATTGCACAGCCATCTGTTATCATATTCATGTTTTCTTTTTCCTGAAATGTTGGGTTTTTGTTATATACTCTGTATAGATGCGTAAACCTGTCAATCCCTCAAAGCATACGTGTGAGAATACTTTAGCAGTTTTTCTTGTTCATATAGTGCTTTACTGCTCCCTCTGCCACATAAAAAGTTCACACTGTGTGGGCACACTACTTGAGAAAAGTCAGAAAACTGGGAAAAATTAATAGCATAAAGATAAAACACAATATTTGAGGTAGTTGGTTGGGTAAGAGGGAAAAAGAAAAGAGGAAGTAGTTGATGTGATAGAGAGAGAAAATGTTAAATGTTACTCCCTCCGTCCGGAAATGTTTTTCCCGTGTTGACTTGGCNAATACTTTAGCAGTTTTTCTTGTTCATATAGTGCTTTACTGCTCCCTCTGCCACATAAAAAGTTCACACTGTGTGGGCACACTACTTGAGAAAAGTCAGAAAACTGGGAAAAATTAATAGCATAAAGATAAAACACAATATTTGAGGTAGTTGGTTGGGTAAGAGGGAAAAAGAAAAGAGGAAGTAGTTGATGTGATAGAGAGAGAAAATGTTAAATGTTAAATGTTAATCACACATGACTATATTTAGGTTTGCACATTGAGAAAATTTGATGAGTCAAAGTGCTTAGATGAACAGTTCCAAAAGTCAAAACTGGACAAATATTCCGGGACGGAGGGAGTATGTTTAATTTTTTATTTCTATACCAATATTTAAATAAAATAGATTGAAAAAACTTGAGATTTTTCTTCGTTTTGCGCAACGAGAAGAAAGATATAGGACGGATGGAGTAATTATTAGTAGAGGTAAAAAGTGAATTTTTAATAGAAAAGGAAAAGAAATTGTGAGATAATAAAACTATACGGAGTATTATACCACATTTGTCCCGAAGATGTATAATATACTTTGTTTTTGTGACAAAATCGTGTTTAAATGAAATACAAACACGGGTGTATCCATGACACAACAATGCTACTCAATCAACACTCCCTTTTCTTTAACTTATTCTAGAGATGTGCTAGGCTTGCACCAAAGTTTTGATGATATTTGACACCAAAATTCTCATATGAATCATTCGAATTCATACGGAGGAAGGAATACAATAATGGATATTTGAAATTCTCTATTAATTGTCAATTAATACTTATTAATTTTTCCCAGTACTAAAAATTCCACATATTTAATACACAAGTTAAGTTTGTAGGGCCGTGATAACATCATAAAGATGTACCAAGAATTATTCATAACAATTTCATTTGTTAAGTTTTTCTTATATTACTTCATTCGTCTAAGTTAAATCGTCTGTTGTTGTTTACGAGTTTTGACTGATTTTTTTAATTTACTTATTTGAAAATTTATGTAAAATTTAAAAATAAAATGTATATATATTAAAGAATTACATCAAAATTTTGAAAAAATTAGAAGTTATATGATCGTATTATATTTTCAAATAAAGATAAAAAAAACATAATTAAATTTTGATATGTAAATCATAAACATACAACTTAAATAAAAGGGAGGGAGTGATACTTAAATGTGACATAAAAAGGAATAATTTTTTAACGGGGTTAGTGCGCCGTCTATCTGATCCACAATTCATCTGATAATTAACGAAGAGATCGATCATCGATCGCTATCGCCGATATTTTATACGAGTAGATGGATCGGTTTTTTTATCCGATAAACGATCGTCGGTAACGGTGAGTGGGCATCAGATCCAAGTCCTAACTAACTCATCATCTCTAGTCCGGAGCTTCACCGCCTTCGTCGGCGGTTCTCAGCGCCTTCTCCGGTGCCTATCCCGACTTCTAGAATCCCTTCGATTTCTCCACCAGGTTTGCCCGGCCCGTGCTTCATAGCTGATCTCGAGTATCTTGAAATGTTTTTTTATAGTTTGAATTTTAAAGAAAATGGGTTTCATGTCGGTGACTGGATTTCATTTTCGTCCATGAAGATGGTTCTTGAATGTTATCTTGGAAGGATGCTGTGATGGGTGCTTTCAAGCACAGCAGTGAATTCTTCCCCGAGAGAAGAGGAGGTATAGCTGTTGTTGTGCCCTCGAAGTCTCTGGATCTTCGTAGAGCTCGAAGGCTCGGTCGGATTTCTAAACGAAGCTTATTTCTTTGGGGGATTCTACTTGCTGTGTTGTTCTCCATCATTTTGATAGCTTTTGGTTTGGAGATGCATTCCCATGGTGAGTGGGAATTTTTCCCAGTTGTTACTCCTAAATATGCACTCGGATGCATTCGCTCTTCTATGAAATTAATGTTTGGAATGCTAAAATTCTTCAACACTTGTTGTCAAGTGAGTCTTGCTAGTTGTTATCTTGGACCCTTAGCCATAAATGATTTTATCGAAGGATTTACAGTTGTTTCGTGTTTGTTATCAAGTTCGTATAACCAATGCTTATTCACCAAATAGCTCCTATATTTGTAACTTATGTCATCTAAATCATTCATGTAATGCAAGGGTTTTTTTTTCCTGTTTTTTAGTTTGAAGCTATGATGCAATTATTGTAATTTTAGAGGAAACCGAGATCCAGCTCCTCAGTATCCTCATAATTGTCTGTTTCTCATCAAGATCATCAACATCTTAATCCCATCTGGTTTTGGTCGGTGGCGTTCAATATATAATGCCAATTAATTTTTAAATTTTTTGTTGACAACATAAATTCATGGGAAAAAACATAGTGATAATATTTTACGCCAGATGCCCTTTCACAAGCAGTAGATTTATATCGATCCACATATGAGGTGACATAATTTCTATTGTCATTTCATTAATAACTATGAATTGGCATGCTTTTAGGAGTATTAATATATCAATGCATGCCTTTTGTCAATATTTCAGGTGTTTTACCAGACGGGCATCTGTCTTTGGTGGAAGTGCACGAAGAAATTTCCAGAATCAATGCTTCAGAACAAACGAGGAAGAAACCTCGCAGGCAAAGTAAGATTGAATCTACTGCCTTTCATACGATTCTTATGCAGTGCAATCGAGTGCACTTGCACACTCTTATATGTTTATAAAGCTTTAAATTACATTATGAATGTTGTGATTCTGATCCAAACAATGCAATAAGAGCCACTTTAACTCTATTTTCCTCTGCTAGTAACCCTTTTCATTCAATGGCATTGCCCTAAGATCCTACTAAGCTAATAAAATTATAGGTTCCACTGCGTTTAAAAACCTACCTCCCCCATATATGTACTAAACAGAGAAGAATACAACTTTTGTAGTACGGAGTTTATATCATGGAACTGTAGACAAATCAAGGTTTGACTGCACTTTAGTCTACACTAACCAATCATAGGCATATAGGAAATATAGTGCTCTTATAAATAGAAAATGTTCCATTTACTGGGTATTGATTAATCATATCAAACACTGCAGATTAAAAATTCAATGATCATTTGTTATCTGTTTTTTTTTAAGTTTCAATTTTAATAATTGAGCACTACTGGATACTGATATGTTTAACTCTGCTTTTAATTTTTCAGAGTTTTTCCCTTGTGGGGTACCATTGCGAGATTCCGTAGATTTTGTTATTGACCCCAATGAATCAGCGAATTTCACTTACTTCACTTTGGACTACATTCAAAGAGAAGACATGACCTCTCATAGTGGTGCTTTAGATCTGAGATTTGGAGGACACCAAACCCTTGAAGAAAGAGAGAAATCATTTCTTGCCATCAACCAAACAATTCATTGTGGTTTTGTGAAGAGTGGTAATGGTTTCCCTAGCACCGGATTTGATTTGGACGAGAACGACAAAAGATACATGAATACATGCAAAGTTGTTGTATCATCATGCATCTTTGGCAGCTCAGACTTTTTAAGAAGGCCAACCAGTAAACAGGTAATACTCCACTTGTTTTCTGAGAACCTACTTTTCCCAGGTTTCCTGAATGACTTTTCTTCCTGCTCTGTGTTGCTATTTAAATGGGGTAGTCTACGATTTATTTGCTAAGCTGAACTTCTTGAATCACCCATGCTCAATCCTTAAGCCCTTATTTGGTTGGAAGGGAGGGAAGAGGAAAGTGGAGTTGCGTGTTTGGGTGAGGAAGCTTGGGTGAAAGGTGCAGAAAGTTAAGGAGCTATACAATCTTCCAAACTCATCGTATTTCACTATCTCAGATTGGTGATATATGAGGATTATTTCTTTGGCCAATATATTTTTAATTATAACAAAAGTTATACTCCGTATTAACTTTGCCCCAAACAAACTTTTCAATTTGATTTAATGGTCGCAATATTCATCTTTTGGTCATTAATATTTACAGTTATAGACTAATAAAATTAGACGCTCATCATGGCTCACCCATCTTTTGGCTTTGACCCCCCACCCCGCAATGGGCAGGGAGCCTTTGAGGCACTGGGGTATTGTTGTTGTTGTTGTAGACATAATAAAATTAGAGGAATAAATTACTCCTCCCTTCATCCCAAAACAAACTTCCTGATTTTACTTTATGAAGCTTAAGAAAAAGTGTTTGAAAGTAAAATGTATGAAATGTGAAGTTTATTTCAGAGTGGACGAAAAAAATGAAGTTTATTTCAGAGTGGATGAAAAAAATATGAAGTTTATTTTCTGGACAGCGATTGTATTTCACAAATATATAATTAAAAAAAGGAAATTTTGCCTTAATATTCCCAAATTTTGAATAATGCTTTAAATAATACGGAGTATCTTTTTTTGTGCCAATCACCCAACAATAGTCTAACCGTTGAACCTTGTTTCGAGACAGAGGGAATATTATATTCTCGATCTTTGCGGATTAAGCAAAAAACATTATTGGTTTATGAGCGAGTGGTGTGAAGATGGACTATATTAGATTTCCATACATTCTTTCTTTGTTCAGATTTTTGTAATTTATTTGAAAGACTTATCATATTAGTGTAGTAAGTGGTTATCCATGTCGATATTTGTTTTTTGTGAAATAAAGATTTTCATTAATTCTACAAAGATCAACAAATATAGAGTATGAAAAAATATCTAGACATTTACTCAATTTTGGGATTATTTTTAGTTAATGGCCCACATTTGGAATCATTCTAAGAAAATGTAGCCATAGTTTCAAATTACATAATGCCTCACTTCATAGAAATTAAAGGTCAAAGCTATTGAACTTTGACTTGAAAAGTCAAATGATGAAGTTTATCTTGGAATAATTGTGTATCTAAAACTCGTAAAATATTTGCATATTTTTCTAAAATACTCACCATTCACCAATTTCTTCCAATCTTCTTCATCAAACCAAACATACGGAGTAATAATAAATTTTTAACCCAGGCAGTCCTACCCTACCCTGATATCAAAGTTTGCCTACGATACTGATCTACATATTAATGGTTTTGTCATGCTTTTATAGATGAGTGAATATTCAAAGAAGAATGTGTGTTTTGTCATGTTTGTCGATGAGGGAACTCTTGCTAAGCTATCAGCAGAAGGAAATGTGGCAGACGAGGGAGGATATATTGGGCTATGGAAAATAGTTACTGTCAAAAACTTACCATACACGGATATGCGTAAAACTGGAAAGGTGCCAAAATTTTTATCTCATCGCCTCTTCCCTTCTTCTAGGTGATTGATGCTCATACCATGGTCACATCTTTCTGGTGGTTTTGTTGTTTTGGAAATGAAATGTGATTTTTTTAAAAAAAATTATTCTCCACAATCTTTAGGTATTCAATTTGGCTTGACAGCAAGCTGCGGCTTACTACTGATCCGATGCGAATCATTGATCACTTTTTGTGGAAAACTGGGTCAGAATATGCCATTTCCAATCATTATACCCGGCATTGTGTTTGGGAGGAGGTGCTCCAAAACAAGAGACTGAACAAGTATAATCACTCTGCTATTGATGAGCAGTTCAACTTTTATCGGGCTGATGGTCTCGCCAAATTTGACCAATCTGACCCCAATACCCCTCTTCCTAGCTGTGAGTGTCCTTTTGTTCGTTTCATAATCTCCTGTCATTTTGCTGCATCGTTGTGAACGAACACCCCTATGTTTTTATGTGTTTTTGCTGCAGACGTGCCAGAAGGTTCATTTATAGTCAGGGCCCACACGCCAATGTCAAATTTGTTTTCGTGCCTTTGGTTCAATGAAGTGGACCGGTTCACGTCACGGGACCAGCTCAGTTTTGCATATACATTCTTGAAACTGAAGAGGATGAACCCAAACCGACCATTCCACCTGCACATGTTCAAGGTGAGAGCTCAACCGGTCTTTTTGGGGACGACTAATGAATAAATAATGCATTTTGCACATTTTTTTCTTAACCTCTGCACACTCTAATTTCTTGATTTCTTCAGGACTGCGAGCGTAGGTCACTTGTGAAGCTATTTCACCACAGGATACCTTCGGCTCCCCTTCTTCCACGGCGAACGAACGAATGAAAACAGGTCTGTGTAGCCAGCCAAAGTGACTCCAAGGGTCACTTTGATTGATGATTCAAACACACTCAACACTACTTTTTTTGAGGGGTTTGATGAGCTTGAGAATCTAATCTTAGGGCCTGCATGTACATTCAGCTTTACGTATTGTACATTGAAAATTAATTTTGGAGTCCTTCTATGCTTATTACCACCTCCATTAATGAAAATAAATACACACAAATGACACAATAACCCAAATTAAATTTCTGAAGATAGTTCTCTTGCCATTCCTTGTTTGCGTTGGTTAATTTATGTGTGTGTGTGTTCACGAATATTAACCCACACTTCTTTTTAAAAAAATAAATTAACCCACACATTCTGATACTATTAGTGATAATAATAATAGTATTAACAGATGAACTAGCTACTTTAATTAAGATTTTGAATCAAATCTCAAGAATAAGAATATAAATGTATATAAATAAACTGATTAACAAACAAACGGAGTAGTAAACTTATCCAATCTCAAAATTAAGATTTCGAATCCATCATTGATACATTATCATATGGAGTAGTAATTTACAAACACAAACGACACATATCCACAATTAAACAGAACATGTGAATTTGTAGCTTTTTTTTAACATGTACAAATTAGCGCACGAAAAAAAAGTCTACATCCATCGTGGGTTAAGTAAGAAACTGACGAGGATATCCGTTACCGTTAGTTCTTTCACAACGAGTTTTTCCGGCGGTGGCGTTGACCGGCCGCCACCGTTAAACAGCCACTCTTCGGAGACGGCGAACCGTCATCCCCGCTTCTCTTTAACAAATTCTTCTCACTAAATCTTCTCATATACTCCTTCCTGTTATAATTCCTTATCTTCGTGGTGGCCGTCGCCGGCCGCCGCCGCCTCTCTCCCGAACTTCCAGACGAGCCTCCGGCGGCAGGGATCGCGTACCACCCGATTGAAGTGCACAGAATAGCAAAGGCCCTCCCGTAAATTGCGAGGAAGACAAGAATCATCAACACAGTGAAGGGCAAATAAAACCTCGGCTTCCTCAACTCCTCCCACTTCATCTTCTTCCATGAAACACTCTTCGTAATAAGCTTCTCCTTCCCGCCTTCTTTGGCGGCGGCCGCCGTTCGACCACCAGCGTCTCCGTCGCTACTGCGGTCTTCATCTGGTGATTGTGCGCCGGAGCTTCTCGTCAACGACGCCGTCCGGTTTTCTCTGTTCTTGATATTATTATTCGCGGCCTTGAGCTTGACGACGATGGGCTTAACGACGTCGTTCTTGGAGTCGGAGGAGAAGACGAAGCGGACGATGGAGATTTCGTCGGGGCCCACTTGGTTGTAGATTTTCCGCTTCTGGGATTCGATTTGGGCGAGGAGGGCGGAGAACTTGTCGAGGCCGCGGCCGGCGTAGGGATTGCTCTTATTATTTCCTTTCTTTGATCTCTTTGGGCTCGACGACTGGGAATCCTGCAAGTAGTCATAGTCGTCTTCCTCGAGTGGATTTGATGAGCTTAAACAGATAAGTGGGTTGAACATTATATTTGTGAGAATGGATACGGATAATGGTATTGATGAAGAGAGATCAGATCAGAGTGGGTTTTCCTTTTTTTGGGGGAGATGAAGAATTGGAAGAGATATGATGGAGGAAGAGGACGATGGATGGGTACTTGTATATATTTTGGGCGTTAGAATTAGATTGATTTAAAGACTAGACGAGATGGATGATGAAGAAGACTTTGATGTATACTCAGTCCGGTCCCCTAACAAAATGTTACACTTCCATTTTCCTAACGTTTCAACACAAATTTTTGACCAAAAAATCAACTAGAGCATTGAACACAAAAAATTATTAATTTTACAAATGGAACATTGGAGTGTCCCGTGACAGTGTAATGGTACTGTTACCTAGTTGCTACCGAAGTTATTACTTCTCTGGCTTTGAGTATTTATTCACTTCTGGTTTTTTTTTCAGTCAAAATTGGTAAATTTTGACTTTAAACTAAATAAAAATGATACGGAGTATTAGATATTGATACAAAATAGTTTTATTATATTTATTATATCAAATATTTTCAAAACATTGTTTTATCTAATTAATATAAAATATATATTTTATTTAATCATAGGTCAAAATTTAAAAATAGTTGAACGAAAAAATTCAAAACTGGACAAATACTTAAGAAGGTAGGTAGTACCATTTTGCTAATAAATGTATGATATCTAACAATTTTCTCTACCTAAACAATTTGTAACAATTTTTTTTAACTTAACAACAACTTTTTTTTATTTTTCAATAGTATTTATCCTAAACTTAAACTATGAGATAGTTTATGGGATAAATGTATCCGAGTTTTTGGAATAGTCAAAACTGAAAATGAAGGCGCTTGACAATTACGAAAGTGGAAAACATATTTAAATTGAAAAAAAAAAAACAGAAAGAAGAAGCTTCTTCTTCTTCCATTGACTTCGTCGCGCGGGTAGCATTTGAATATCAAAATGTGTAGCATAGAAATATGGCTTGGGGAAGGGGTTTCTTTGAATTCGCCAAGTCCACGGTACTTTTGTTTTTTTGTTTGAAGGATTATTAATAATTTATTATTGCGTCCCTAAACACGTGGATGATTACTTTCTTTGGATTCAAAAACATAATTTTAATTTTTAATAATTTTTTTTAAAGATTTAGTTGTGTGCTTCACATTGATTTTCTTCCATCTCGATATAAGCGAAAATTTTATTTCAAGATAAAGAGAGCAGTTGGTAATATATATTACAAAGTACATTATATAACTGAACTTTTCACAACTTTTCACGAATAAGATTGAGGAAATTTTTATAGTACATATGCTTGATTACAAGTTGCAATTGCGCCATCCTTGAGTCACGTTTGGTTTTTTACGGTTACTCTCTTTTCATAGAATCAAACTCTTTCTTTTTTCTTTACACATTTTCATCTATAACTTAATAAAATAATACTCCGTATATTTGACGTCTCCCGAATGGAGAAGCAATGCTTTATACAGAGCAAAACATGATCGGACGCATGTGTTAGTAAAACAACAACACAATAAATTGTGAAATAATTGAAGGTATGCATCAATTTACATGCAAATCGTCGCGCATCTGTGTGAACGCCTTTCTTTTGTATTCGTGTCGTTCCGAAATAATCTTCTTTTTGTGTTTTACTTTTATGTCTTCGAATATATAAACGTTTCATTCATTAAATTTAGTAATAAATGATGCATACTAGGCTATTATTTCTCTCTCTCTCTCTTTTGCACAAATTTCAAACACAAGTTTAAAACAATTTCTTTTTAAAAAATTGAAATGAACCCAAAATAGTGTAGCAAAATATAGCCTTTAATCCTTTATCCCAAAGTAGGATTATATTATTACACTATACATGATAATGTGATGTTGTATAATATCGGTACATATTATTATTTTCTAAATTATTGGTATTATAGGTTCTATTTGATCATAAAAATATGAGTGTCCTATTTTATTTTTATTGAGTTGTTCTTCCGCGGCCTAAACTCTATGTGCGAAATGTAATCTTTCTTATACGGAGTATATTTTATGTTTGCAAGCCGTATATTTTTTTTGCAAAAGATCTAATTCTTTTATGTTATTCAGATCATGCCCTTATTAAGTCCATAAAACAAGCATGGACCTTAACAACCACATAATAATTTTTTATTTTTGTTTTACTCGATCCCTTTCCATTTCAAAAAAATTGTAAAAATCCAAGGTTATGCTTTTCATTTTCGGGGATAAGAATATGTTTAATTTAGGACCAGAAGAGAAAGAGTATTACTATGTAATTTGACTATATAATGCTAAGTTCGCAAACATAATGATCACAAAGTTTACAAATTTATCATTTATAATTTAAATTTTCATTTTAAAAATAATTTCGATTAACTGTTTTTCTATAGAAGTAAACAAATAGTAACTTTGTGAGATTTTTGACTATTTTGTTAGTGAACCAGACATTTCTTATTTTGCAAGGACCGGATAACTAATATTTCTAGTATTTTTCGGGTAAATGTCATTATCGATACATAAATAGTCTTGGTTATCTTATTATTGGAATTAGGTAATAGAGGGTAGTAAAATTCTAATCAATGATAGAGATTTGGATCATCGGATCAATTCAATATCTCAATGTGTCTAAGAATATCTTTAATGTACTCCTTAATATATTTAAGTGATTGTTTCACCTAGAAAATGTGATGTGAAATTTATTTTCTTCGTCCATTAATTTATTTTTTACTTTTATTTTTAAATAGTTCAAACATTTCCATGCCAAGTCAAACTGAGACGTGATAGAAAATATTTATATTTTTAAACTTTTTTTAAATCTTTGTATCAAGTCAAACTGGAAAAGAAATTTTTAGACGAAGAAAATACTTAACAAAATAATCGTATTTTTCCAAATATTTGTTCATACTTGCCAATTAAACTTGGGGAATCGATTGACCCAAATGACTCGACTAGTTCCCGATTTTTTCTACGGCGTACTTTTTAATATTTGATTGTTTTTTGAGTTTTTTTTGGGAGTCTTTAATGTTAATCTTAGATGGGGGGACTAGTCAAGTGCACCTCTGACCCATGAACAAATTACATACTGGGCCAAGGTCCAACTCTTAAAGCTCTTCATGTTGAGGCTATGATCTGGATTAGCTTTTGAGTCATCTTCTTCAATGGGCCTTCTACCATCGGACACTTGTTGTTCTTAAATTTTTTCATCAGAAATTCCCAAATATTTTCTGCAACTTTTTAGATAAATATTTTTGTCGATACAACAAGAGTTCGTTCAAACAGAGAGATAAGATCTACTCCCTCCATTGATTACAAATTGTGAAAAACCAATTTTTTTTTTTTTTAGTTTTTTTAAAATTTTTTTACTTAAAGATTGGACATAAATCAAAAATAAAACTTACATTTTTAAAAACTATATTAAAAGTTTTACAAAACAAGATGTGACAAGAAGATTTTATATTACTCCCTCCGTTCCAAATTATTTGCCACATTTGTATTCCCGAGGCAAAATATCAAGTTTTTCCATTTCATTTTATTTACATATTGGTAAAGAAATAAAAATTAAAATTTACATATAAAAAAACTACATGAAAAGTTCTTCGAAATAAGAGGTGTCAAGAATATTTTATTTTATCAAATAATCAATAAAAATGTCGAAATAAACAAAAGTTCCCGACACTGCTGAAAAAGCAAATGTTATGAATATTTAGGGACGGATGGAATATAAAAAAATCAATGAAATTAAAGTACACATATAAACAAAAGATACCGTGATTTTAGAATATTTATTAAACATTGTAATTTTGCTTGAAGTGCACTACTTAAAAGCAAAAATATGGTTCCAAGCAACAGCTCAAACAAACATGGCGTTAGATGTACATTACGGAGTACAAGTATTTGAGAAAAGGGTAGTACAAAATTACAAATCATGTGGACTTTATGTGAGATACAAAGGAAACGAACAATAATGAGCTTCCATTATATATACTCCCTCACTCGTCATATATTTGTTCATGTCAAATTTGGTTACTTTTTTTCTTGATTTTAGTAGTTATTTCATAAAATAATATTAGTGTACTCGATGCAATTTTTTAAAATTTTAGGAACTATTGGTGTAACTCTTTTGAAATCAAGAAGAATTCGTGCAAATTTTGAAGATTTAGGAGTAATAGCGCAAAAAAACTATTTTTCAAAATTTCTTAAACTAAAAATAATGGCAAAATTTCTTTGTTTTCAAGTTTCCTTCAATTATTCTACTACTCCCTCCCTTTCATATAATCATATAGAAGATGGTTCATATTTTGAGTTTTAGGAGAAATATAATAATGAATGTATATTTGAGGTTGACTTTTCCTTTTTCCCTTTAATGTAATTGGTAAAAGTAATAATTTGATAAATAAATTATTAGTGAACAAATATAATGTGATAGATATAGGGTAAAACAAATATGAATAAAAGTAATTTTTTAAGAGAAAATAGATATATTTTGAGAAAAAGAAAAAAAAGAAAAAGAAAGTATTTTAAGAAATGAAGAAAATATCAAGTTGACAACAGCTATTTCAACGCATTGACAACAGCTAGCTAGCTAGCTATTATACGTTTTCAAATCAAAATAAAGCAAAAACTGATCATAGCAAAGGAGAAAAAGGCAATTAAGGTGTAACGTAACTAGCTCATAAAGGGAACCGTACGTAAGGTGACACTTTAACTTCAAGCCGGAGATCAAATGAATAAATATTGGGAAAAATATGCTAGGAGTATACCAAAGGTGTTCCCAAATGTACATTACCCTTTTCTTTACCATTCATTTTATTTTTTTTAATTTTTATTTTTTTTTGAAATTTTCTTGCTTTTTTTTGTGGTGACGGAGGGGGTGGGGGATGTTTGGGGTACACTTTTGGTGTACCCCTAGCATTTTCCATAAATATTTACCAATGCAATTATTTGATTTGATCCAATTTAGTCCTTCCCTTCTTAAATGTTTATCACATTTCAAAAAATGAGACAAAATAAAAAGTTTTTTTAGTTCATTTCATTTAAGTATTAGTATAAAAATAAAAATTAAAAATTACGTATTTAAAAAATTAAATGAATTTTTTTTTTGAAATAAGAAGTGTCAAGTACTACTCCATATTTAATAAAATTTACATATTTAAAAACTACGGAGTAATATTTGCCCTTATCATCTCCTGGGCCACGTCTATATATTTATCCATCTCAGCTTAGTCTCGCTGGAATAAGCTAGTCTTGCAATATAAATGTCGAGAAGCTAAAATTAGTTTAAGTAGTACTCCGTATTAATTAACCACACTATCGAATTGAAGTTGAAAATTAGACCATCAGGGAGGACGACGACGACGTGTGGCATGGCGGCGGCGGCGGCGGCGTATGGAGGAACGACGCAGAAGTGCATGGCGTGTGAGAAGACGGTGTACGTGGTGGACAGGTTAACTGCTGACAACAGAGTTTACCACCAGTCTTGTTTCAGATGCCACCACTGCAATGCCACTCTCAAGGTCAGTATGTACTACTCTATCTATATATAGTACTCCCTCCGTCCCGAAAAGAATGGGACGGTTTGACTTTTTGAGAAATTAAGGGAGGGATATTTTGGTATTGATTTTTTAAATATATCCTTGATGTGATGGGTAAAAGTAAGATGTGATGGGTAGATTATTAGAAAAAAAGTATGATGTGATAGGTAGGGTATGAAAAAGTAAGGGGTAAAAGTGGTTTTTTAATAGAAATGTAACGGACTTTACGGGACACAGTTTTTTCTAAACGTAACAAACTTTTTGGGACGGAGTGAGTACTTAATTACTTTAAACTCTTACTATTATTCCAATCATTAATCAATTATATTACTCGTAATTAATTAATATAGCTAATCAAAGAGTGATCTCTCCATCTCCTCATTTTTTTTGGTAATATAAATTTCAGCTAGGGAACTACAACTCATTTGAGGGAGTGCTCTATTGCAGACCACACTTTGATCAGCTCTTCAAAACAACTGGCAGTTTGGACAAAAGCTTCCAAGGTATATACTAATCAACAAGATAACTAATACCGAGTATGAGCTAAATTTCACTGGTGGTCCTTCAAGTAAATATTGCCATCATCCATGATTAGTCTTTCAAAGTTGAAAATTTCACGAAGATAGTCCTTTGCATCATGACAATGATGTATGGTTAATTAGCTTTTGAACTTTCAAAATTTCACGAATAATCCTACATGTAACGTCAGTGTTGCGCGATTGGTATATTCGTTACATTTATCTTTTAATTCATACTCCGCACATTTTTATTTTCCATTATAAAAATAAGTGAGGAACCTTTTTCATACAATTGAGTCATATTTTTTGTAAGTATACTGTAAAATGTCAAAATTCAACTGCATGGGCATGTAGACATTTGCTTAATATATACTCTCTTCGTTCTCAGAAACTCTTCCTCTTTCATTTTTTTTACTTCCAACAAAACAATTCCACTTTCTATTAAAAACTCACTTTTACCCTTACTTTATCATACCCTACCTATCACATCATATTTTTCTCTAATACTCAATCCATCACATCTTACTTTTACTTATCACATCAAGAGCAAAATTGGAAGTCAACTACAATTTAACACTTCCTTATTTAATTTTTACACAATGTCAAAATAAGAACACTTTTATAGAAAGGAGGGAGTAGAAACAAAAAAATTAGTGTGCAGAGAGTTTTAATTTTATGTGTGAGGGGATGATGAATTTCTTGAAACAAACAGGGATACCAAAGATTGTGAAACTAGAGAAAGCATATGCACCATCACAGGTAATTTATAAGACCAAAGACCGATGGAATCTCAAATTTATATACTCTTTCCGTCTCACTCTTTTTGTCCACTTATCTTTTGGCACACCATCCAATGCATTTCATTAATTTATTTTATCTTGTAATTTGTATATTAAAAAATTATAGAAATTATATATAAATAATCTATATGTTAAGACAAATCAAACAAGATTGACTATATTTAGGCTTATACATTGAGAGAATTTGATGAGTCAAAGTGCTTAGATGAACAGTTCCAAAAGTAAAAATTGGACAAAAAGAGTAGGACGGAGCTAGTATATGTTTACTCGACACGAAAATGCGGGATCATTTAATTTGTTTAATTATTCATATTTATATATATGCGGTCGTCGTCTTAAAGAAAGGGTTGGCGGGAGCGAAAGGGTCGTCAAGCATGTTTGGGGGGACAAGAGAGAAATGTGTGGGGTGCAAAAACACTCTCTATCCAACCGAAATGGTATGAGATGTTTTGATTTTTAGGGAATTTAAGAAAAGTGTATTTTGGTATAGAGGAGAAAAGAAAGAAGAAAAATTTTCAGGAAGGGAGAGAATATTATTTTCCAGTGTTTAATTTTTAAATGTTGAATAATGAAGGTGAGGGTGAACGGGAATGGATACCATGCACAGGAGGTGCTTCATCAAGTGCAGCCATGGGGGTTAGTTGCGTGATAAGTCCATCAAACTACATTGCCCACGAGGGACGCCTCTACTGCAAGCACCACCATCTTCAGCTCATCAAACTTAAGGGCAACTACTTGACAACCCAATTGGAACCTACTCCTCCCGGGGACGACGAAACCAATTCTAGCTAGCTTATAATAAGCTAAGGGATGAATTCGATCTATTGATTATTTCATTCGCTGCATTGTTTGCATGCCTAGTGTGTGTTTCAGTACGTCCTTAATATATATATATATATATATATATATGCGTGCCGTGCTTGGCTGGCTTGTTGGGCGTGAGAATGATTGATAATATGTTCTTCAAAGTGTTTTGTTAGATTAGATATGTTTTATATATGCTTTCCATTCATTTGGACACAAAACTCTAAACCATTCTCTTTCTCTAACCAAATGCGTGTCAATATCCTTTGATTCGTCTAAGTTTCATGCTAAAAACCCCCACCCTTACTACCAACCATCCCCCTATATGTTTAGGGAGGTAAGAAAATTAAAATTAGAGGGTGGGTGGAGAATGGATAGAGATAAATATGTGGTGAAGAAGTGGGTGGAGGCAAGGTTGGTAGCAAGGGTGAGAAGTGTGTAGCACGGTCCAATTTTCATTATGTGAATATAAGGTCGTGATCCACTTTCTAATCCTTTGACAAAAAACTCAATCCCAGTAGAGTTTTTAGTGTGAGAGGGAGTATATGTTAGCAGTATTTTTTTATGTTTTTCAATGTGGGAACTCCAACACTTTTTTTCAAGTAGTAACTAGTCTCAGCTAGTTAGCACTTGGACAGACAAGTCTAACATCTCAATCTCATATTGCTAAACTCACGTCCAAACAATTAGGAGGAATCAAATCCGATCCAGGTATGCTCTGATATCTTGTTAAAATTTTAGTCGACCAAAAACGGGCAGTGTGTCAGAGTGTCGGGTAAACTAACCACTAGAATGCATGTAAAGTCGGAGTCTATATTGTATATTAATTAGATAAAAATTATTTGACAAATCTAAAAAAACTATTTTTTGTAACAAATATCAAATATTGTTTTTATTCAATTTGAAATCAAAATTTATCAATTTTGACCAGAAAAATTTAAAAGTTAACAAATACTCAGGGACAGATCAGTGGAAATTAAATACTCCCCTCATCTCAGAGTATTTTGTCCACTTTCATTTTTACACACTATTCAATACACTTCTTTAATCCATTTTTTTCTTGTAATTTGTATATTAAAAAATTATAGAAATTGTATATTACTAATTTATATGTTTAGACAAATCAAACAAGATCACACATGACTATATTTAGGCTTACACATTGAGAGAATTTGATGAACCAAAGTGCTTAAATGAACAGTCCAAACGTCAAGACTGGACGAATATAGCGGGACGTAGGGAGTATATAGATAAATGGTCAAAAACTCAAAATTTTATATTAGAGAAAGTCATACAAATCTTTACGGAAAGAGAAGGAGAGTAAAATAACATAACATTCATTCATATAATTACAGAAGCGCAATTTTACAGTTCAACCAGAAATGGAATAGCAGCGGCTAATTTACATTACATGCTACCAAAATGTTTAAATATTATTCCACCGCTAATTAAGCGCTTCTACACAACGGAATATTTTACTTGGTAATTTTCCACTTTCTAACTGGTACTCCCTATATATTCTATTTACACCCCCACGGCAACATTTTTAATTTTGCAGAAAAAGGTCCCAACTTTGGACAATTTCAGTCCTCTTCAAACCTGAAATTCCGAGGAAGAAGAAGAAGTCTCTGTGGGGTGGAACCTCCACTCAAAGAGATAGTCCCTGGACTGGCAGCCCAACTTCACGGCGTCACAAAAAGCCCTAACGGAGTTCTTCTTCTCGTTGCACCGCCATTCAATCCTCACCCAGCAAGTGAACCGCTCCGACGAGGTCGGGAAAACGCCGGAATCCAAGAAGTGCAGCACCACCTCCCCTCCTATCCTCCCCGTCCCCTTTCCGCCGCCGGGACTCGTGTAGTCCAGCCAGCAACACTCCGGCTGACCCACCATCTCCTTGTACGCCGAGTTCGCCAGCCGGACTTTGTTCTTCGAGTCGGAGACGACCGCCGGCAGCACCTCCGTCTCCACTTCCTCCTCCACCTCCTCCCCCTGCAACCTCTTCCTCTTCCCTTTCCTCCCCTGTTTTTCTACTTCTCCTTCTTTGTCTTTTTCCTCGGCGGCGGCCGGAGTGATGGACCCCACGTAAATGCAGGACCCCACCGGGCGAACCAGGCGGGGCCTGACAGGACAGCTGAAGTCCTCGTCATCCACAGCCGCCCTGTTCAGGTCTATTCCGCCCCTCTCTTCCTCACGAGGAAGGGAGGGGACAGAAATGGAGCTGGACATAGTGGAAACGGGACGGTCAAAACCGCATTTCAGGGATACGAGTTTGGGGAGGGCAGGGAAACCGCCGTTATTGAAGGAGATGAGACGGAAGGGAGGGGGAGAGATCCCCTGGAAGCAAGGCGGCCTGGGGCGCTTGATGAGGGGCAGGTGGGGCGGGGCAAGGGCGGCGGACCTACCCCGCTTCCTAGTACGGGTAGGCCGGGCCTGCAATTGGGCCCACACGTCTCTGAGGAAAGGGGACCGGCTAATGCTCGGCGGCAGGCCGGCATCGTTGTTATTGCTAGAGTTGGGGCAGGCGGAGGAAGAAGCCTCCGCCGGCTTCGGGGCTATGGGGCGGTACCTGGCCATGATTTCCGCCGTCCTTGCGGCGGTGGGATATGATGGGTTCAGCGTCTGCAACATTATTATTATTATTATTATTTTGTGTAGAGTGGGGGAGGAAATGAAATTAAGTAATTAAAGGGAAGGGAATAAGGGGGTAAATAGAGTGGTGTGTGTAGGTAGGGTAGTACGTATGTATAAGAGGAGGGGAAGAGCCAATGGGAGAGAGGCAACAAGAGAGGCAGAGAGATGACACTTGGAGTTGTAGTTTGACAGGTACGTGTTGGATTCGATCGTCCCAACCTATTAAAATGTTTTTTTTTAATTAATTAATTAATTTTGTGGTGGGACACACATGCATTGTGCCATGCTTTTCCTCACCCACGTCATCATCATCCATCTATCTATCCTTCAATTCCCCTCTTTTCCTTCTTTCTCTTCATCGCTTACGTCAAATTATACTCTCTTTTTAATAAAACGATTGCGATTTTGATTTTTAGAAAAAATAAGAAATTTGTGATTGACTTTTCAATTTTATTCTAATTTGATAGATAAAAGTAAGATATAATAAATAGATTATTAGTGAAAAAAATTATAATATGATAAGTAATGATAAAAAAGTAGAGATAAAAGTGATTTTGTAATCAAAGTTGAAATTGATTTGAAGAAAAAAAATAGTGAAAGAGGGATGTTTTAAGAAACAAAAGGAATAATATCTTCTCTATTTCCATCTCCTATACTTTTTTTATCTTATTTTTTGGGGCATAACGAACGGGAAGAATGGAAGATCCATTATTTTCGAGTGTTCAAAAAATCGCAGCTTAACACTGCGAGGACGTACAACGTTAGGCTCTAATTTTAGGCTTATTATGAGACTAATAACAGTCTTTTTTTAATCGGTGCTTAAGGGTTAAAGTACATACAGAGATAAAAGAATTCGTCAAGATGGCATTGTTACTTCAAACGCTTCAAGATGGTCATTGTCCTAATTTTTTCAAACTGAGTATAGGATGTGATTAGTGGAATAAAAATGAAGATATACGATATACTTAATTGATAGATTAGTATTTAATTGAATTTTAATTGGAAGAAAATAATTTTTTAGCACCGATGAGTAAAAGAGAGAGGGATTTTCAGGTAAAAGTTAGAAATGACATCTAACTTATGATGAATATACGATACAGAGTGGTAAAATCATTCTCCGGAAATATCATAAGCATACATTATAGGCATGATTGACCCGAATAAACAATACGGAGTGGTAAAATCATACTCCATACCTGACATTTTAAAATTTTTATTTTTTCTAAAGCAAACATTATATTTTTCAATATGACATTTTAATGTAAAAATTTAGGCAAAAAAATGAGTCGTTTTTTTTAAAAAAAAAGTGAAATGAATTAGACGTTGAAATAATGTTTGCACGTAAAATTGTGGGCAAGTAGGAGAAGGGCGGGGAGCGGTGGGCGGTGGTGACGTGGATGCAGCGCCGACAAAGAGAGAAGAAAGAGTGGGCCCTCTCCCATTTCCACCTTAACGCGTGTGGACTCCATGCATGCTCTGCCTACTCTACACTTGTTCACTTTACAAATCTTAATTTAATTTGTTCTCTCCCATGTAATATTAATAATAATACTAATAATAATAAGTGAAATTTCTTTAATAATAATAATAATAATAATATTTAATAAATCCCATTCAAAATAATAATAATAATAATAATAATAATTAATAAATCCCCTTAAAAAATAATATATCGAGTCACCGTAGCCACCACCCCGGTTGGTTTGAACGACACTTTGAATTACTCGCTCCGTAGCAACTCTAGTTGGTTTTAATATACTCCTTGTCCTTCCCTCCCATAAAATTTTTATTCCATCTTTTCACTCGTTCAAAAAAAACTTTCTATAAAAAAAATCACTATTGCTACTAAATTTTTTACACATTACATCAAGTTTATCACTAATAATTATTAATCATGTCTTACTTTAACCCATCATATCAAAGGTATTTTTTGGAAAGTCAATATAAAAATATCTCTTTCTTAAATTTATTAAAGGTGAAAAGAACAAAGGTTCTGTAGATGAAGAAACATTGAATTTAAATTATTTTTAAATTAATTTATTTAATTTCTCTTTTTGTCCCATAACTAAGTTGTAATTTGATTGTACACCACTTAAAATAAATATTAAAATATGTCTTATTTATTTTAATTTTGCTCCTAAAATATACTACTGCAGTTCTAGAGAATTTGTTCATTTTTGACTTTTTACAGTATAACTAAATTGATAAACTATGATCATTAACAAAATAAGATTATATATTACATATTGAAGCAAAAAAATAATTTTATTAGATATATCTTGTAAAATATTTTTAGAATATCATTTTATATAATTAAAACAACATATAATTTATATTTAATTATAAGAATATATTAATTCTAAATATAATAAAAAATCAAAACTAAAAAATGTTCTAAGATAGAGGAAATAACACTAAAGTGATTCATGTGGTTGTGAGTTGTGAGTGACGTTTTCTAAGAAGAGATGAGAGAGTGGACCAATTAGAATCGGGCCTTCCCTGATCATTCTTTCGTGGCTAACTCCGCTAGCCATAGATATTTGGGCCTCTATGGTTTTGTGCTGTCATCACAACATCAGCACCCCCATGAGTCGAACCAGATGATCCATAGACCATATAGTTTTTTTTTTTTAAATTGGGGCCTATTGATTTGGTACTTTGTTTGATTTCTCTTTGCCAATTAACGGGTGAGATATATTCCTCTATGGAAAGCCCATTTAGAAATTTAAGTTTCGACAAAAACAAGTTATGAATTCTTGCGCCCCCTTGTAATTTTAAATCTAAGAGTATAAATTTTAGATAAAATCCAAGTATTCAAATTATTTTCTAATATCCAATTAATACTTAAAAAAAGTCTATGTTAACAAGACTAAACCATGAAATTTATATCAAAATAACCTCTTTTATATTTGGTCCCCATAGTAGTAGTATTTGTAAAGGATAATCTCTAACTATTATTATTATTGGTATTATTATAGTAGTAGTCTCCTCTTGGGTTTCTACCTCTACGCATAGTCCGCATAGTCCTGTAACCATCCTGGTAAATAGCCTTAGGAATAGCTCCGGCTAACCGTGTGTTCATATGTGTATATATACTCTGCATGTAAACATATAATGTATCAAATTATTTATTCATTAATATCTTATATGGTATCAGAGCGCTAGCTCACAATTGGCCTCTCCGGCAACTTGATGTAAATAACGCTTTTTTGCATGGCAGGTTAAAAGAACAGGTGTTCATGGACCAGCCTCCTGGCTACGTGCATCCCGAATTTCCCACCCATGTTTGTCGACTGTCTAAGGCTTTGTACGGTCTCAAACAGGCCCCTCGGGCTTGGTATGATGCACTCTCTCGGTTTCTCTTGACTTCGGGGTTTGTGAAGGCACGGTCTGATTCCTCGCTTTTTATTTATCATGCGGGCAGTGTGACAGCATATTTTTTGGTATACGTGGATGACATCATTCTTACCGGCAGCTTTACTCTCTTCTTGGATCGGTTTGTTCATGCCCTCGCTGCCGAATTCTCCCTGAAGGATCTCGGTCCCTTAAATCACTTCTTGGGCGTCGAGGTTATCTCCACTAAAGCTGGTCTCTTCTTATCTCAATCGCAATACATCCTGGATATTCTGGACGATGCCTCTATGACTGGTGCTAAAGAGGTCGCTACTCCTATGGCAGCAGATCCTTGTTTTGCTCCTGAGTCAACATCTACGACTGTTGATTCTACCGCTTATCGGCGTACCATTGGGCGACTACAATATCTTTCCTTGACCCGTCTGGATGTCTCGTTTGCTGTGAACAAATTGGCCCAGGTCATGCATGCCCCTACGGATCACCATTGGTTGGCTCTGAAGCGTGTTCTTCGATATCTTAAGGGTACCGTGTGTCACGATTTGTTTTTGTCTCGACAGGTTCCGTTGTCTCTCACGGCTTTCTCCGATGCTGATTGGGGAGGTATCACTGACGGAGGACGGTCAACCACTGCGTATGTGCTCTATATTGGGCCGAATATTCTCTCTTGGAAGTCCATTCGCCAGAAGAGCGTGTCTCGCTCTTCCACGGAAGCGGAATACCGTGCTTTAGCTAATGCGGCGGCTGAACTCCAGTGGGTTCAGAATCTTCTTTATGAGCTTCGTATCTCTCTTAAGGAGACTCCTCAGCTCTACTGTGATAACATGAGTGCTCTTCATTTTTGTAAAAACCCGGTCTTCCATTCCCGGATGAAGCATATTGCTCTCGACTATTTTTTCGTTCGTGACTTGATTGCCGCTGCCAAGTTAAGGGTGACTCATGTGCGCTCTACTGATCAATTGGCCGACATTCTCACCAAGCCATTACCTCGTGTCTTGTTTACGAAATTTCGTTCCAAGATTGGCGTATCCGACGGATCCTTAATCTTGCGGGGGCGTGTAAAGGATAATCTCTAACTATTATTATTATTGGTATTATTATAGTAGTAGTCTCCTCTTGGGTTTCTACCTCTACGCATAGTCCGCATAGTCCTGTAACCATCCTGGTAAATAGCCTTAGGAATAGCTCCTGCTAACCGTGTGTTCATATGTGTATATATACTCTGCATGTAAACATATAATGTATCAAATTATTTATTCATTAATATCTTATAGTATTGACATAAAAAAATGTCTCTAAATAGAAATAAATTCTCATCAAAATGTCAAAATTAGGAGCCATATTATTTTTTTTCCTAAGTAGAAGTTTGCTAGTGGAATGATAATATAGCAGTGCGAATAGCAATTATGTATTTATTATATATCAATGTGAATGATGACAGTATGATTCATGGCAATTTGATTGTGGACAACCGGTCAACGGTGCACCATGTTGGCAACATAGCTCTGGAGACTTAAGTCCACGGTGGCTCTCTGGTGATCTCGTGGCGGCGGACGATAGCAGTTGACAATGTGTCATTGATAGTATGAATTTTAAAATCTTATTTAGATTACAAAAAGAGTGTTACTCTTATCTTAGTATTTTCACTCTCTTTTTCTCGAAAGTTCTCCCTATTTATATTATAAATATTCTCTAATTTGATATTGTGTGTTTATTCACGGTATTTTTTAGTATATTATTTGACACTAAGGAGACTATCTAAATAAGGTTAAAACACACCCAGCATACCAAAATAAATTTTTTTAATATTTTCATACCAAAATGAGACTTAATGCCAAAGAATGTCAATACATAATGGTAAACAATAGTGTGAAACGCCAACATACAATATGGAGTTGTGGCATTACACAGTGCCAACACTCATAAGAGGCCCTATTTTTGTATTGTATAATTTTAATGTTTTCATCTTACTTAGATGTCTTTAAACATTAAGGTCTTATTTACCCTCACCATTCACCAGTCCAGGGGCCACCTGTTACTCCGATTTTAATATATTTTTATTAAAATTGTAAAATATATGGAGAAAAATATATTCCCTCCGTCCCAATTTAAATCGCCTATTTTGACTTTTAGGCATATTTAAAGAAAAATAAAAAATAGAGTTGATTTTTCAAAATTATCATTACTTTTTAGAAGGGGTGATGATGAATGAGAACATAAGATAAAAAAGAGTGACTTATTTTAGGAGTAGTTTAAGTATTTTATTTTTAAAAGTTTACGAAAACAACTAGCAACTTATTTTGGGACGGAGAAAATAGCAAACAGGCAATTTAAAATAGGACGAAAGGAGTAATTAACATATAATCATCAGGTAGTTGTGGGGCAGCTATTTTGGGTGGACAAGAAGGGGGTATAATGTTTTTTTTGAGGTTTCATGCTTTATTGTTATTGTTGAAACATCAAAATACTCGTAACAAATAAAGAAAACTTCGCTTTCACAAATCCCAAAAAATAAGAAAACATTTGTTTAAAAGAACATCGCCCAGTCTGTAATTTTAAGAGGAAGGAACAGATGAAATAATGAATTTTCAATGTGAACTACGGATGACTTTGAACCACTTCAGATACATACATTTTGAAACAAATGAAAAAGAAAAAAAAAACAGATTGCAAGAAAGAGGAAGTATATATACATAATGTATAACTAGTCACTTGCCCAGAAACACATATTTTATTAAAGTCCTAACAATCAAGAACAACAATCAAGAGTATAACCTTAGCCATCTAGGAGTATACATTTAAACAACAGAGAGCCTGTGGACTCAGAAAAGAATATAGTGAAGCACAAAATTTGATCTCTAGTGTTAAGGAACACATTACAAAAAAGGAAAAGGAACATTAAAGGAAAAAGACAGCCATTGGAACGCAGCAGACAACAATTGCAGCAGCAAGTGAGTGGGGTGTGGGTTGGGTATTGCATTGCATGATTTGGCCACAGATTAGAAGAACACTTTCCCTGTTAGGGAAGGGTGTGGTTAATTGAACACAACACATGTGTCTCTAGATGGCAATAACTATGATCCATAGATGTGTCTGTGAACAGGTGCATCGAATGTCTTAACCACTTGAATCCATGGTTTGTCTATGACCAAGACTGAACTTTTCGAAAGATGACCAAGAAACAAAACAGGGTCTCTGAATTCCCGAAAAACAAAATTCTTTTTACCATAATATTGACTCTCTAACTCTGCCGTTCCTTTCAACCGCCTCTTTTTCAATTTCCCATTCGCCGGAGTGCTCTGTATCTTCCGTAACAGCATCTCCTGACTGGTTGTCAACCCATTGTCCTCTCCTTCGACGGGCACCCCAAAGTCGATTACACACATGGCCCTACAAAATTTCAACATTTGTAAAAGAATGTCATTACTCAGTAACGTTGTACAAAAAGCAGGCAGGTAACTGGTGAGAACTTGTTTACTTATTGTAAGTGGAAAAATAACTCGGGACATCCCATCAATTTATTTGGACAAAGAACTTGTGAATAAAAAAGAATATATCTTGATCTAGTGTTGAGAAAAACAGCACAGAAAAAAAGAAGAAAAAGGGGACAGTTGGTATTCCCAACAGACAGAAAACAGCAGCAGCAGCATTGAGTGACGTAACATTGCCGTATTGGATGGTTGGGCATATTAGAAATATTCGAAATTAGGATGGTGCTTAATTCAACAGAACAGCTCACTCCCTTAGATGGCAATAACTAAGTTCCATGTGTGAACGAATGATGCATCAAACGGCAAGTTTTAACAACTTGAATCCATTGTTTGCCCATGACAAAAACAGCTTTTTTGAAGGATGTTCAAGAGATAAAACAAACTCTCTGCGTGCCCAGAAGATAAAATCTATTTCTACCATATTCATGACCCACTGACATCATCGTCCAAATACAAATACACAATCATATGCATTTCTTTAAGAAAACAACGTTTAAAAAAAATAGTTCTGTCCTACATTCAATTACACTTCATATAAACTTCAGGATTTGTCACAAAATGATCTCAGTCACGTGCCAAAGGAACACGAATTAGGACAGGATAATAGTCAATTTCAAAAGAGTACTAGTTCAGATCCAGTAAAAATTTCAGCATTGTTTCAAATCCAAAAACATGTACTATACATTCTTACATAACAGTCTACTAGAGGAATATGTGAACAAGCAAAAATTGAAACAATGCCCTGACTTATAATAAATTTTTTAAACATGCCCTGAATTACAAAAGTAACAAGAAAAAATTGAAACAATTACTCTTTTGGTTTACTGAATTGAAGATTATCAGTTGACAAAATCTGTTTAGTTAATGGACATTCATTATACAACAGAGAGTAAAACAGACCTGAAACTAGAGAAGCCTAGAGCTTTGACTACCAATGAAGGATCTACTCTACAAAGGTGATATATATTAAAGAACACTACTGCTATGGTGAAACAAGAATATGAAAACATTTTCCTAACAAACAAACACCATTAAAAAACAAGACAACTGACATGTATACCTTGGGCTGTATACTATAACAGTTGATGAGTTTGCTGATGGAGGGAAAGAGAGGCCTATAACTTCTCCGGGAAACTCTTGATAACTTCTTGGCAGAGAAAACGTATGCTTCATGGACCACTCTCCCAACTGCTTAGCTTCCACGTCAAATGCATAAACCTGGTTTAAAGATGTTGACAATATAAGGACATTGCTATTTCGGGGAGCAAAACCAGCAGCTGTTACGGATGATCCATCCAGCCTTGATATGAACCAGTGTTGCCTGTTGCACCAATAAAGACTGTCATTAACATCATGCCCATTTCCATCCACCGCCCATTGCCAGTGGTTCAGTGGAAAAAATAAGTCAAGGCAATAAAAAGGTGCCAGAGTTCAAATTAAAGAAGGGCATGGAATATTAATTTAAAAAAAAAATCATTTTTACCCAAACTTAGTTTGAATGAAAAATCATTAGGTGATGGATGCACTCGTGGAGGGAAAAAGAAAGAGGAAAAAAACAAACTAAAGCCAATTCAAATACTATTATTGCACACCTCTGTATTTCTAGATTAAATATATAAACATCTCCAAAGCAACTGACAGCAGCCAGCCACTGTCCATCACTGCTCGTGAGCATTCTGGTTATAGGAGGCTCGGTAGGTGGCAACTCTTCATCATAGTCCTTGCTGCAGGGCGTGAATACATGATCGACTTGCATATTTCCCAAATCAACGACCTGCATCCATTAATAGAGATGACTTCAAAAAAATGTTCAAATAAAAGCACAGCATTCCCCCCTACACAGATATCTCAGGTAAACCCATGCCCGCAATAGTACTTCAATGTAATGACTCACATATATCCTTCGATCACATCCTGCAATCATCAGTTGTGATGAATCATGACTGAAAATCATGGAATGAGGAAATGGCAAATCTGAAGGTAGCTGTCTTTTATTCACATTCCAGACAACTTTGCCGCTTCCAGTTCGGTTAAGTTCCAAAAGGCTGGGCTTAACATGGTCAGAATAAGCCAAAAATGCACCTGAAGGAGAAATTGCACTACATGTTATCTTCCGAGAAGCCTTGCACTTGATACGGGCAACAAGATCTGTTTTTGCAGCTCCTTCGGAAGGGCTCGATCCACTATTAGTGATAACACAGTTTCTTGCACCAACACTGAAAATATCTATCCAGTATGAAGCCTGAATCAAGAGCAAAGAAGTGTGGTTGAAAATAGTGTTCGTTACAAGCTGTATATATGGTCTCTGTGGTGCAGGACAAATATCATGTGGAGAAAACTTCGAAAACTCCTTGGCAGAATATGCAAAAAGCTTGGTGTCATCACCACCTGAAATCAGCATTGGCACTCCCATATGGGCCCATTTATGGTAACTATACTCAATGGGCTTCTCCTTACCCCGATGTCTCTTCACCTTTACTTCAGTCGTATCTGTAAACATTAAACCAAAAAAAAATTATACCCAAAGTACACAGAAATGAGGTTTAGCTGAAGCATGATGAAATATAAATGGACCTTCACGACAAATGGGAACGGCAATAGTCAATGCCCTGACATCATGTGTATGAGCCCTCTGATAACCAACATAAACCCAGTTCTTCATCACTACAGGAGAAATACTTACTTCATCAGACTCAATTCCATCAGTAGAGAGCTTATAAAGGATAACCTACAGACAGAATCAATTCAACTGTCAGCAGCTATAACACTTCAAAACATATGCTCTATTTGTACAAAATTCATCTAACAGGTGGATGATGAAACTCTAGGTTATGCAAAATGATGAAACTTGCATGTGCAAGTGTCACAAAAGACACATTGGGCACTATAATGTTTCATAGCCTGCCTATGGCACCTAAATGGACACTTGGAATTTGGCAAAGCTAAATACACCTTATTGGTGCCAAGCCTGTTTAGTAGTGAATCGTTCTACGGTGGCCTATGAAGCACCGGTGCGGAAAAAAACATGCGCATGAAGCGACCGTGCGGGTTCTCGTGGGGCGGTGCACCTGGGTGCACAGTGGGTGGGCTGGCAGCACCTTGGGTTTGCTACCCACTGCTGCATCGCCGAGATAAAAGAAGAAACAGTGAATCCGCCGGAGGAGTCGCCATCACCGTCATCACCAGAGGAGTCGCCGTTTCTGCCGGAGCTCAGGCCCTCCGATTGGAGTCATCGTCGCCAATCGTGATCGCGGACAGATGAATCGAAGAAAAAGAAAGGTGTATTGTGAGGAGGCGGTGGAGAATCAGGAAGAAAAGGAAGGCTGGAGTAAGGACAATAAATATTAAGTCTAGAGTTTACAAAGAAATATTGGCAAGGAATTCATTGAAAGTTCTGAATGAAGTTAATTTAGGAAGGGGAGAATTGGAGAATTAATGTATTGTGTTTTCTTTATTTATTCCTTCCAAGTTCATCCACACCATAGAACGCAAACCTGAGTTGCTATTACTTGTTCCTTGACGCGTCTCACTTTCATGGCTACACCAACTAAGACACTAACACGTCAAAAAGGAATATCATCTTACAGATGCAAAAGTTTGCTCAGGTTTAGACGGTACAGAGGTGAAAAGTTGGAATAAAATTTAGAGGTAAAAACACTATACTAAATGTTTTCATTCCAGGTACTTGAAGAAATTATAATTGAATATCTAAATATAACTTTAAAGACATGAATTTTCCAGAAGATTTGTGCATTAATTATATACATATATATACCTGACCATCTGAACCGGCAGAAAATACCCTGTTATGGCTAGGTGACACTGCCAAAGCATTCACATCCCCTTTATGATAAGAATGTACTTGCATAAGAGTTCCATGCTGGGTGTCCCAGAACTGAACACTGCCATTACTATCAGCACTTACAAGGGTCCCACACCTGAATTTTAACTTGGTAGAATTAGGGGCAGAACAGAAAAGCTAGTCCACATCTGAATATGTTTTGTACTTTCTGGCATCCCATAATATCTCTTTCTTGCACATGTATGTGGGAGTAAGACGATAGTAGGGTAGGCTGGGAATCAGTTTTACCTTAAAGCAAGTAAGGACCATATGCAAAGTTCAGTTCCACTACCTGAACCTCCAAGACCAACTGTAATCCTATATATCTCATGACCGAACTTTGCATCCCAGCACCTTATCATCCTGCAAAAAGTCAACTTATTAGTTACTACAAGCTTAAAACTGAACATCTTGGTCTGAACCAAGTTTCAAGATTCAAACTGGTCCAATTGAAATTTTAAAAGTATAATTACCCGTCACTACTCCCCGAAAATATCTTATTTCCTTCAGCATTCCAAGTGACGCTTAATATTCGGCCTGCATATATGAGAAGCAAACTTCATACATAAAAACAAAAAATAAGAACAAAACAAGTTTTATTGAAAAAAAATGTTGGCAGGTTTCTCACCGCTGATCCTTGGCAATGATCTTTTTTGCACTACGTCATCTGAACATGAAACACTATAGATTCGAACACATCCATCATCACATGCAAATGCTATGTGACTATCTTCACGAGCACGATCTTCATAGAGCACAACTGAGTCATCATCGTCGTCACTTCCACTAGCACTGCTCTCATTTTCAATATCACCACTATTGGTATGATCCAAGTGACCATTTTCATAATGCATTGAGTCTGTGATATGATTAAGTTGCTGGTTACTACAAGGCTGTGCAGCCATTTGCCATATAGAAACACCAATAGAATCAATAACAACCTGCAGGCAGTCATGGAAAGCAACGTAATTAGCAATAAGCATTTTGGACAAACGAAGTCTGCACCTAAAGTCAATAAATCAAATACTTCAACAAGCCTATACTTAAAAACCTAAGTATTTCAAAAGCATGAATTAAACTGTGCAAGTTGAATGAGCATGTAAAGAGATAATTACTACCTAGAATCTAAACTTCCTAGTTTCCGTGGGCAGTGCATGATTTAACCATACAAATAAAAGGTAAACAAACCTCGTAGATGAAAGCTGTAGAATCTTTTAAGAAACATTATGAAAAGAGCAAAAGCTTCATACTATAAATAATTGGTAGTTGAAGACTAACTGGGGATTGAGAAAAATACCAATGAAGCAGACTAATAAATACAAATTATACGACATATAGAAACATGTTACTAGAACGTAAACTAAAATTAACTGTCAAACAATAAGAAATGTGGAAAAAAAGTTTTCTTTTACTAAACCGGCATTAATCTTCTAATAAAAGGGCATGTAATGTTATCTGCACATTTCACATTAGCTTTATAAAGGTAAGTAGCAGGGTATATGAATCCCAGAACTCCATTACTGCAATACCACTACATTTATTACACACTAGCAAAATAACTAAATACACTGGCAGGATTGGGTCTTCATGGAGTACTACATTATTCATCTAACGACTGTCTAATTCTCTATTGTATTGGAAAAGGTTTGAGCAAAATGGAAAGAGGAGAGTGAGAGCTTAAGGCAAGCATTAAAAACCTTCTGCCTCAAATCAATGAGATCCCATTCTGAAACTGAACCATCAATACTCGACGAGAATAGTCGACCTGAAGGCAAGCCTCTTGACCCTGGCCGGCACCAAACCAACGATGAAATCCTTGAATTGGGATTTCCATGTATTCTCTATGCAAATAACAGCTCAATACATCAAATCCAAATCAAGGCCACGTTTTTTTAGCAAAAACAACCAATTAAAAACAAAATGAAAACAAAAAAAAAGTATCAGTACGAGTTGACAGTGCCAGCCGACTGAGCCAGGAGAGACAAGCCAAATTTCAAGAGAACCATCCTCGCGAGCTGCGGCAACCTGAAAGTTGTCGGCGCTGGTGGCTAAGGCGACCACCGGAGATGGTTTCCATTCAACGGAACTGGCCCGATATAGCTCGGGCATGAGGATCAGGCCCATTTCCCTGACGAGCAGGAAGCGGCTGTGTGAATAGGAGGAGGAGGAAGAAGAGAGAGCGGCTGGAAGTATGAAGAAGAGAAAGTGTAGGGTTTAACGCTATAAGAACCAGATTCTCCTGAAAACGGGTAAATGGTAGAAAGATGGTTTCGCCCGAAGCCCATATTTCATACCCGGCTAAGAAAATTATTTTGGGTCATGCATCGCATTAATACGACTTGTGGGTGGGGCTTTAAAAAAAATCATCATTGTTGTAATTTGTAAACTTGTAATATTACTTGTCTTAAAATATTCTTCTTTTTTTCAATTAATTAAGATAAATTTTATTATTAATTATAGGGATGTAACTAGATATTAATTGAATCGGATGTTTTATTACCAAATTCGTATACATTTATTTTTATCAGATATTAAATTCGAATAGATATCTTGACGGATATTAAAAATAAAAACCGTGTTCGCAATCTTGACGGATACTAAAAATTAGAAATGAATATATCCATATCCATTCCCAATTTTTTTGAAGTCAAATTAAACGATACTTTAATTTTCAATTCAATTAAACTCAAAATGTTATTAAATCAACTATAATTTATTATTTGATAATTACTTTTTTATGTTTCTATAATTTATAATATTCTACAATAACTTTATATAATAAAAAGATATACACAATACATATACCCACATATTTTTATATTTCTCTACATATTTTTATGTGTCTACACATATATGTTGTATATAAAAATGTATTGTACTTTGCGGTATCAATAGAGAAAGAAAATATAAAAATAAAAAAATTAAGAAAAACTATATATAACAGATCGGATAATCGTATATTTAAATGGATCTCAATACGGAGTGGACTATTAACAGATCGGATGTATGATTACCAAATACGTATTCATTTACCAATCGGATATCCTTAATTGGACACGGATAGTAACAACTTTTAACGAATGTGGATATTTTTTCGTATAAACGAATATGGATGCTGACGGTAATCAAATTTTCGATTATCCATTTACAACCATATTTAATTAACTACTAGTAGAAGTTATATTGGATATTAATATATAAAAATCATTAGAATAGATTTAGGAAAAATTATCTCAATTAATTCCACATTTCAACTGTCTTCAAAATATAATTTTGCTTTTCAATTTTAAGTAAAATAATTTCAATTTTTCAAGTTATTACGCATTTCGAGTCATCGTTACCCTCTTGTTGGAAAAGTTAATTGAATGATGAGTTAGAAAATATTTTGTTTTGTTATTTGCCTAAAATAATTCTATCTTTTGTGAAGTTACGCAAAATAATTTCACCTTCTATTGAATTGCATATAATAATCATATATTTAAAATTCTTTTTTTAAAAAAAATTTATCTAAGTCTATTGTTGTTGAAATAAAAAATAAAACTTATTTATTAATCAAGAGAAATTTATTTGGGATTTATGAAAATTTTTGAAAAATCAAATGAATCCAATTAAACTTTGGCGCAATTTTTTTGGTAGACGACAAAAAGATAAATCACAAACAGAAAAATAATACATTCAATTTAATATTCTAAAATTTTGCATCATTTCAAGGCAATTTTATCTTTATTATCAAAAAAAGTTTTACGCATTTATTTCAATAACGATAAATTGAGAAAAAATATTGAAAACTAATAGGTTAAAAAGTGAGATTATTGTATGCAATTCAATAGAAGATAAGTTTATTTTGTACAAAACCACAAGAGGAAGGTACAATTATTTTGGGCAAATAACAAAACAAACGTATTTCCAACTCATCATTCAATTAACTTTTTCATCAAAATATATATATGAACGGTGGTCGAAAACGCGCGAAAACTTAAAAAATTGAGATTATTTCACATAACATTGAAGAGTGGGATTATATTTTTGGAAAATCGCCAAAAAAATATGGGCTCATTTAGAATAATATAATCTTAGTTTTATGTTGTGAAAAACTAACTTATGTTTATTTTATTTCACTAATATGTTATGCAAGTTTAATGTACTTAATGATTGAAATTTATCCTTTTTTACTCAAAATAATCAAACACGGTGAATTTTTCCTCGATATGATCCCACATCACATCCTTTGCTTGCTCGGAATCTTTTAAGATATATATAATTCAACAAAAAATATATTTTAACACAAATATATAAAAAAAGAATATATATACACACACACACACACTATATATATATATATATATATATATATATATATATATATATATATATTTAGAAAATATATACTACCTCCGTCACATTGTCTTTGTCCAGTTTTGACTTTTGGAACTGTTCATTTAAGCACTTTGACTCATCAAATTCTCTCAATGTGTAAGCCTAAAAATAGTCATGTGTGATCTTGTTTGATTCGTCTTAACATATAGATTATTAATATATAATTTTTATAATTTTTTAATATACAAATTACAAGATAAAATGGATTAAAGAAGTGCAATGGATGGTGTGCCAAAAGGTAAGTGGACAAAGACAGTGGGACGGAGGGAGTATAAATTTTACTAACGATAGGATGCTCCGAGACATCAACTCAAGCCGACGCCAACAATAATTCTTCTTCTGGCGTCCACTTTTGAATGGATCGTACCACCTCAGTCATCGGCTTGTCGCCCTTCGGTGTGTGACTCTTCTGATGTGCACTTTTTTTGTGCACTTGGTTCCGGTCGAGTCTCCAAAATCGACTCCGGGTGTTCAAGATTCATCGAGGTTTACGTTTCGAACAACTACGGATTATTCTCGTACGTCTGGAAGAGCTACATCGCATACTCGTTTGACTCGAGACTGTCAGATAGTTTTTTCAAAGCACTAACGCTAATCTCTAACATTGATGCCAAACATGGCCTTAATATATCTGATACCTTATAAATTTCAGAGGCCCATGATAATTGTCCGACCCTTTCTTTCATCTAAAAAAGTGTGTATGTATATATGTGTGACGTGTCAAGCCGGACAGGAGGCGGCAGCGCGAGATGTCCTTTCATTTCTCGTAATTGTTTACCATTCAATTCAATACTAGCATATAAGTGGTGGAAAATGAAAGGTTTCAAATCTGATGCGGGATACATGGGCTTGTCTCCTTCCAATGATTCGACTTTATTAATTAATTTATCATTCAACTGAGCACCAAATTTGGCGCACAACATATCAAAACACGCGTCTCATTTTGGAGATTGCTTGTCCATAATTATTTTATAAAAATTATTTTGTGGGCCCCACCATGTTTATATCCGCCATTAATTACAAGCCAAAAATTCCAACACCAGCATGTGCTCCATATCTTCAAACTCTATACAACGATTATTAAAATTTCCGTCTCGCATAAATAAATTCAATCATATAGAATAGTCGATGTCACTCGAATTACAAACATAAAATACGTGTTCGTGAATGGATTTTACAAAGCAAATCATTATTCATTTCAAAAAAAAAATCCGACCGTTTGATGAATTGTAATGGTGTTTTATTTATTGATATATCACTATATATGTAAAATTATTATTAAGAGCGTGGATTAAAATTTGGCAATTACATTCCATGGCCGGGCGGATTGGATTAAATAAGTTAACTAAAGCGGGTGGTGGGATAACCATCTTGTTAGCATTGCAACACATTCTTCTCGTTTGTACGCAAATGCCACATGCCCTGCCCCCTGCATCTCATCATTCAATTCATACACAAATTTACTCTTATAAAGAAGTAAAAAAGTAAACAATTAATTTCTGGACATTTTAAAACCGTGAAAAGTGTAAAGTTAGACTATATAGTTGCATATATGGGATATGCACACTCACCTTGACGGTTGCAAATGTCATTCCGTTGGAGTAAGATCTCGTGTAACTAATTAATTACAATAGTAATAATGATAAGAAGATGAGGAGATGAATTGAAGAAGCATTTTATTTTTACTATTATTGATTATAGTAAAAAAATTACCCGGCAATTTGACTATTAACGATCCACTGTCTCCAGTCGTCGGTGATGCTGTAATTCAAGGATTTAATCCATGCTTCCGTTGATTGGAATGGAATAAACATGTCATGATCACCACTGTACGTTCGTTCAGATTCACAGTTCAAAATTCCAATGGAGACAGTAATTACAAAGTTTCTAATGTTAAAAAAAGGTTTATTTGATGAATCATGTTAAGATAATTAACAAAGTTAAGTAGAGTACCTATATATTAATGAGGTATAACCTCGGCGGCTGAGATTTGCATGATGTTCTCTCGTATCTTGAATCCTAATTTCGTAGGTGGTTGATGTAATGCTCTGCCTGCATCTCAGCCATTGTCCAATAGATCCCTCAAGAAAATAAATAAAAAAATCATTTTAATGAAGATCCTAGGTAAATAAGATTGCCTTACTTTCTTTGTTTTTTGTAAAATCTAAATAAGATTCCAAATGATCTTTTCTGACATTTTTTATGACATTGCAACTCTTTTTTCAGATAATGGTATTTTGATATCTCCGGCGTTTGAGAGATATCAATCTATGTTTTGGTATCTCACCCAACCATCTGCCATTGTCGTAGACAAACTGCCTCTCTCACCAACAACGCCGAGCGTATCATTAACAATCGTTGTTTTAGATTTTTTTCAAACAATTTTATTTCAAATTTAATACGGATTATCATATACGGCTTCTTCCATTCTTCTGGATTTCAAAACTTATACTCATACAAATTGTGAAAAAAATATATTTAAATATAATGTAAATTTAGTAAAACTGTACGTGTTCATTTTAAAATATAGTTTTGATATATCAACTGTTTACAACATTTATTTTTTTAAGACTACATTTAGTTTGTGATCAAAACGGTGCACAGTTTGACTATAAAAGTCAAGGTGTGACAATCTTTTTGGAAGTAAGGAGTACAATATCATTTTTCAAAACTTATGCTCCCTACTCCCTAGTTATAAGACATATATACCCTACAATAAGTGTATCTAGTTAGTAAATAGACAATAGAAATATTTGCACTAAATAGCACTAAAACTTAAGTCATTTCTCTAAATAACACTTCAATTGTTTTATTCCCTAAATAGCACTTAATAATGTATATAATGACCAGTGATGACAAACATTTACTTGAATAATGACTAATGAATAATGACTAAAAGTGCTACATTCAGAAAAAAACATATGTAGTGTTATTTAGGGAAAGTCATTATGTTTTAGTGCTATTTACCGTAAATTCCTCAAGTAAATAACCCAGCAAAGGGAATGCACCTTTCGAACACGTAATGCATCTTGGACGGCGAGATCATTTGCCCAGTAATTGGAGAGTTTGTTGTAGTCAACCTGGAAATAAACAAAATAGAGTACTAATACTATAAATCATTTATAATAATATATTATGTTTAGTTTAATATATTTAAATTTCGCGAAGTTAAACTAGTTTCTGTAGTGCTTTTATTTAAGAACATATATGCATAGATTGACTTACACGACACCACAAACGATTCCGCTGTAAGTTGTTGTCGGAGGACGTCAATTTAAGTATTCGCCTCTTTTCACGGGCGGCTGCCGTGGCAACTGGGTTTTGCAATGCGAACTCGGTTCCACAGTAGGGCTCAAGAATGTGCTCAACGTTGATTCCCTTTGTTTTCTGTTGGTTATTTTAATTTGTTTAGTTTTACACCAATATTTTGTTCGAATCAAAGTTCAACAAATTAAATTATAGGGTCCATAAATGACTCGTATAGTCGTACCCTAACATTTGGTCCACTTTTTAAATATAACTACATTTACATTTTTTTTTTATATAAACAAGTGAGAGATGAAGGAGAGAATGTCCTTAAGAAAATCCAAGTAACCTCTTTGAAAACCTTCGTGCTTTGAGAACACAATTCATTCCTCGACTCATTCTCCTCATATCCTTCTTTACAGTTCTCTGCAAGAGACTATACATTTGCAAACAAAAATTCATCAATTTCATCCATGCAATTAATGACTAATTCGTTCATCTATATATGTATATCTTGGATCAAGCAATTAATTCAAATCAAGGGTAGATTATGTGTGTATAATTAATTAATTAAGCACGTACAATTATCATGTATATATACTCCGTATATGTTACACGCACTAACCGTGTAAAGTTCAGTAGAGATTAAACCCATTCCATGAGCAAATGGGATTGAATAATTGCTTTCAGCAAGAAACGTTTTGGCGTTTCCCAATATGTACCCCTACAACAATATACTAATTGGATTAATATTATTAGGTACATTCATATATGTGTGTGTGTGTGTGTGTGTGTTTAGTCAAGACCAAACTCCATCATAAAATTAATGTTCTTATATAATTAAGTGTAGACATCTTATGAGACAACAAAATTCATCTCAAATCTTTTATTGGAAATTAGGTGTGTATGTAACGAATGCTCTATATTAATTAAAACATATGCCAAACCTTAAGATTGATCATCATCGACCTGTTGTGATGAGCGGCATTTCCTGGATGCATGTATAGTAACATTGTTTATATTGTATATGCAAGCACACACACATATACTCCTATATGGAAAACTTACATGCCCAATGACAATACCATCTATCTTCTTCAAGTTTGTCCAATGTAATTTTTTTTGAATCAAACTTAATTGCATTGCATATATTAATATAAAGAAATAAATTTCTGCTAGTTTCCGTACGATAAATTTAAAAAATTATTTTTTAATTAGTACCAATACGCAATACAAGTTTTATTTAATTTATGATCAAAGTTTCTTTAGTTTGGTTCGTAATATATACAACTAGACGAATGTTTTAAGTCGGAGATTAGATAGAAATATTTAGTACTCCCATTGTCACTGTTCAACTTTCTCATTTGATTTTTATTCAAAGTTTTTCAAAACGTGAAAGTCACTATATGGTTCAAATTTATGAAGATGGAGAAAATTTATGTGGACCAAATAATTCTTTCTAAAAAAGAATATTAATCAGGTAATAATATCCTAAAAAAGAAATTAGATGCTAATTTAACAAAGGGAGAATACAAATATACTCCCTCTTCCCAAAAAGAATATTGCACTTCACTACTTAGATAACACAAGAGTTTTTGTTTATTTGAGCATTTTCATTGATTATTTGATAAAATAAAATATTTTCTTGTCATTTGTTGTTTAGGAAAAGATTTTACATTCTTTTTTATTTTTTATTTCTAAACCAACATTTAAATAAACAAATTGAAAAAAAATTTGAAATTTCACTTCATTTTACATAATATGACATTATATTTTAGATGGATGAAGTAACTAACTAGCTAGTTATAAATTGTAGAGTACCAACCATCAGATATGAGTTGAGATATGATGGGAACGGTAATTCCAGAATACGAATCTCCGCCAATGTAAAACCGATTTGATCTGAAATCCGAATGTACAGAAAACCACTACAAAAAAAACTCAAATATTATAATCAGAGCATCCTTAGTTTCCCAAATTAAAGAAAGAAAGAAAAGCACAAAATTTATTTGGAGTGATGTTTTAATTGGGTAACACAAACCTTTTGTAAAAATTGATAAACATGGTTGCAAGATTCCAAATCAGTAGAGTGGGCCGCACTTGGACTTGTTGCATACGAATATCCACTTCTTGCAGGTTGATCCAAAAATAATACGTTCGCCACCTACATTTAAATATTCTATATTGACCAAATACTTTTACGGGCTTGAATAACTTTGTACAAATACATATCCATACGTATCAAAAGGCAATTGATTAAAAAAATTTCAAATATTTTCTGTAATTTTCCCTTCGGAATAGAATTGAAAATAATTTCATTCTATAAGTGCATGTCACGAGTTAAAATATTACTTTCGTTCTACACCACACGTAGGAGGGAAGAAATTCTAAGTCGATTCATTCGACTGACACACAAGTCTTTACTCCTTCCGTCCAGTCTTTATATTCCTGTTACTTTTTCTGTTCGGATGTAATCTTCCTATTTCTCATATAGATGTGTGTTTGGACTAGAGTATTTCTTCTTCATTAAAAAATTCCAACAACCCACCTACTTCTATTTTTTAGTAAGAGTACTTTGGATAGACCCGCCGCATTATTAATCTTCTTTAAAAATGAGAAAAAGTCAAAATGAGAAAGAATTTAATCCAAACATAGGAAGTACTACTTATTTTATTACTTCATTCCTCCTATAAATACTTTCACACATTTTTACATGACCGTTGGAAATGCTTTTTTACTTGTTTCTTAAAGAAAAAAAAGGATGAACCCCATCGTGAAGGTTTCCTCATACCCGGTCAGATGGTCGTTGAGAGAAAATAAATTAAACTTTGACCGCAAATTGGAGCCAAAGAGTGGGAGGCAAAGATTTTATGCTTAGCATAGTTACCTTCCAGCACAGTCGTCTGGAACCGAACTCGAGTCTTACCTCCTTGACACTCCTTACCTTTGTCAATTATTGTGCCCCACCGACCACTTTTTATATATAAAGTGTAGAAATTCCGGCGGGCCGAGAACAACGGATAGAATGTCGGGTAAAATTAATCATTTGCATATAAAGTCGAGATCCACAATTCTAACCCAAAAGCTTAAGCTGATAGGTAGGGCTTCACCCTTCAATATATGCAAGTGATACTCATCTTTATTTTCCGATGTGGGAACTCCAACACTCCCCCGCAAGTGGTAACTAACCTAGCCTAGTTAGCACTTGGACAAACGGGTCTAGCATCTCAATCTCTTATAGCTAGCCCACACAACGGGCAGTGGCATCTCAATCTCTTTCTAGCCAACTCAGCCCAAACCACAGATGGGTAGCTCATTTTTGCTAAACCCACATCCAAACAACCAGGAACAATCAGACCCGGACCGGACCTGCTCTGATACCATGTAGAAATTCCGGCGGGCCGAGAACAACGGATAGAGTGTCGGGTAAAATTAACCACTTGCATATAAAGTCGGGATCCACAATTCTAACCCAAAAGCTTAAGCTGATAGGTAGGGCTTCACCCTTCAATATATGCAAGTGATACTCATCTTTATTTTCCGATGTGGGAACTCCAACATAAAGGAAAGGGATATGTTAGGGATACACCAAAGGTGTATCCCAAATGTACACCTCCCTTCTTTACCATTCATTTTATTTTATTTTTATTTTTTACTTTTTATGAATTTTCTTGCCTTTTTTGTGTGGTGATGGAGGGGGTGGGAGATGTGTGTGGTGATGGAGGGGGTGGGAGATGTTTGGAGTAGACTTTTGGTGTACCCCTCCTAAAGGAAATGATTGGATGTCCAACTGGTCTAATACTTTTCCTCTTTCGCCTACATAAATTATTTACTCTCTGATACACGAATTTTAGATTTTTTTGAACCAATGCAAATCTTATAATCAGAATTTTTACTTTATTAAAAATTGTATCAATTAAACCTAGTTATAAAAATACGAAGCGGAAATAGTAATAAAATTTAAATACTTCGTAAAAGATAGTAACATCATATTTTTGAAGTGTACAAAATTATACTACCTCCGTCCCAAAAAGATTTATACGTTTTGACTAAAGTAGAAATTAAGGGAGAGATAATTTTGTGTTGACTTTCCAAAAATATCCTTGATGTGATGGGTAAAAGTAAGATGTGATGTGTAGATTATTAAGAAAAAGGTATGATGTGATAGGTAGGGTTTGAAAAAGTAAGAGGTAAAAGTGGTTTTTTAATAGAAATGGG